GGAGAAAGGTCAGTAAGAGTTTTGTTTCCTGATTTTGAGACTTACGTAAACTGCGAAAAGATCAATGACAAATTGGGTGATTTGCATGCGGGTGATCCATTCCTTCCAGGTGATGCGGATTCCACGTGCACTCTGGAAGTAGTACCAATACATCACAACGTGAACGGAAAGATTCAAAGTGATTGGGACCCAGGATACTGGAGTGTGTCCAACAAGTTGAGTGTAACACAAGAGAGCTGTTGCTGGGTGGTGATAGCAGTGAAGGAAAGCTAGTATAACAATAAGCACTGCAAAAGTTCAGGTTCAGTTACGACTTACTCAAAGGCTTCTTCTTGAGGAACAAGAAAACGGTGTCAAGCAACTCCACATATTTGGTGATGTAGTTCAACTGTGTGTCTTCATTAGTATGATCTTCTTTCAAGTCTTGGGAATATGAACATACGTAGTAGAGAGTAACCAATGGCTTGGTCCATCCAGTTCCACCGCAGATACCATCAAACAAGCCATTTTTCCACAGACTTGGAATGAGCTGCTGCGCGAACAGAACAAGCAACGAACCGCTTACGACAGTCAACATCAAGTTGTGTGCCATGAACAAACCATTCAGTTTATATGCTGGACGGTTCTTCATCCATGCTTGACCACCGAAGATGATTACGTAGTAAAGAGCTATTGTAACAAGAGTTCCTTTCAACGTAGCCATTGGCGTCTTTCCTGGAATGAACTCAAAGTCTTCAGCAGGATATCCTGCGACCGACGTCCAGAGTTTATCGAAGGCTTCCCATGGGGAGAACTTGATGGCCCCATCCAGCGGCAAAAGAAGTGTACTGCTTGACATATTGGCTGATGCTGTCGCAACTCGTGAGAAAAGAATGTGTGAGATAAGAATGAGATTCAAGATGGGATTCTGATGTCAAAAAGAATTTTGTTATTTTAGGGGTTAACGATTATATCTTAAAGAATTTTGCTTCTTTCGAAAGATAGGGAGGAAGGTGCTAATCCTAGTTGAAATGCCGTTTCTCATACATCGAAAACTTTGAAAACTTCTATGGACTAGTGACGACGATCACAATCAAGGCTAGAATTTGTAGTAGTGATGATCTGAGGCAAAATCTCGAGCTGAGTGATTGAGAGTTTGAAAACTACTTTCAGTTCCATGGGTCTGCAAAGTCTACTTCCTGGCTAACTTTCGCCATGAAGTGGAGCTTTGTCACTATGATGAATGACCGCTATCAGGGGCGACGGCAAGTGTAACGACAAATTTGGGGAAACAAACTGAGCTTCCGGACGTTTCAAGCATCGAATTATTGCTACCACTTGGCGTGCATAGAAATGAACGAATGGATGAATTTCTCCGAAGTACACGGACTAGCTCCGCATTGGTTATTAGTGAGGATCCATAAATGATGTGTCGTAGGGGGCTTCGTTGGGGACGTCTAAGTAAAGATAAGCTTTTTGCGGGTACCTTTCGCCTATCTCGAATCTTGATGATCGCGCAATTACCCCTTCCGGCTGTCTGCTTCCCGCTCACGTTAAAATGCCTACTAGTGCTTGTAGATCAGCAACAACAGTGGGGATGATACTAATCCATTTCTCACAAGCGGGACGGCTGTTTTACGTTATTCTTTTCTCGAAAATTTTAAGTTTATTTTTTGAGTCAATTAGAATCATTTCGATAAACTCATATTAATAGAATGCTTCTCGCATATCTCTACAGAGAAGTCTCTGATCCACACTCTGCGAGATTCGATCACGCCGAGTAATTAGTTAAGACAGCAATTTTGGCGTGTCAAGCAAGGATGCGTACATACCGTGCTGGCATTGTTCGACCTGTTAGCCGGATATTTCGTTTACCGTCTATTGAAAGTTATTAGTAGTCGATACATTCTTGGGAATGCACTTCTGCAAGATTTGTGGAGAATTTTAGATAGATTCGATCGTAAATGTGTGATGACGATCAATGAGATCAACATTTTCGAGCATTCTGGCTAAAAAACACCAAGTGTTGTTAAGATTACGATCCACAAGCATGGACGGTGAATAATTTCATTAGCATTTCCAATTCATTCATCAGTGTCATAATTCCGGTCTTTGTCTTGTCATTTCCTTCTCAACTCAGTAACACTTTGCTTTGAGCAACGATATGGCTATCGAAGTATCTTTCGCCTCCCTTTCTGGGGCAGCGACATTGATTGCACTCCTGATATCAAAGAACTCCTCGTGGAGCACTATATACTCACTTCAAATTGTCTTTGGAGTCTTCATACCATCATATGTCTTTTACCTCAGTTACATTTTCCCATTCTATATTTCCGAGCTGCGACATGTTCCTACCGTACCTGGTTTCCCTCTCTGGGGTCAATTCTTTGACATTATCAGCACTGAGATTGGTGTTCGACAGCGTGAATGGCATCAAACCCACGGCCCAATCATCAGATACTTTTTTCCCTTTGGAGCTGAACGTCTATCAGTCGTAGATGATGATGCAATCAAGCAGGTATGATAGATCAGTATAACCTTTTTGTACAATCTTTAACATGAACTCGTAGATGACAACCAGAAATCCATATAACTATCCAAAGCCAGTGCGCGCGAAGTTATGGATGGTCAGAATTCTTGGGGAAGGTGTACTACTTGCTGAGGGAGATGAGCACATCCATCAACGAAAGTCCTTAGCACCCGGTTTCTCTATCCAATCGATTCGAGCGCTCTACCCAGTATTCTGGCAGAAGTCATTGCTTCTCACCAAGCTGTGGAAGGAAGAAATGGACGCTGACTCGGTAAAGAGTAAGCCTTTTGAGGTTTTGGAATGGTTGAACCGCACTACTCTTGACATCATTGGTGCCGCTGGCTTTGGTGTGGATATCAACTCGCTCGAAAATCCCGAAGCTCCCATTCGTGAGGCCTACCGACTTGTCTTTGCTTTCGACATTGGCTCCCGTATCTTGCACGGTCTTCAAGCCTTTATTCCATCTACCAAGTACATTCCCGCCAAGATGAACCGTGATATGGAGAGTTCGCGAAAGATCATTCTCAAGACTGCAACAGATATCATTGACGAGAAGCAAGAACAAGCTGCTCAGAGAACTAACCATAAGGACATCATCGCATTGATTGCCAAGGACAACTTGAAGATGAAGGAAGCTGGTGAAGAAGGTTTATCTTTCGAGACTATGCGTGATCAAATCATGGTAAGCAGAAATCTTAAATAGCTCCTCGTAATATTGCGGAAGACTAATATACATTGTCCACAGACTTTCCTTGGAGCAGGCCACGACACAACAGCAACAGGTTTGGCATGGACAATTCATCTTCTCTCAACTCATTCGGAAATTCAAGAGAAGCTCAGAACCGAGATCCGCGAGCACATGCCTTTCCTATTCGATCAAAAAGCCCGTTATGAAGGAAGTGTTGAAAAGACTGATGCGGATCTTCTACCATACCTCGACAACGTCTGCCGTGAATCTCTCCGCTTCATTCCACCCATCCCAATGACAGTCCGACAATCTCTCAAAGACGATAAATTGGGCCCATACACAGTTCCAGGCGGCACGGTCATCTATATTCTCGCAAACACTGTTAACCATCTTCCTATGTACTGGGGTCCCACAGCCAATGTTTTTGATCCTGATCGTTGGGACAAATTGCCTTCTACTTTCACGGCCAATGCTTTCATGACTTTCTTGCAAGGCCCCAGAGGTTGTATTGGACGCAAATTTGCAGAGACTGAGATGAAGGTTTTGATATGTTGTTTATTGAGCATGTACAAGTTTGAGCGTGATGAGAGCGTGGAGAATCCCGAAGACTTGAAGATGTGGAGATTGGTTTTGAGACCAAGAGACGGTCTTCAAGTCAAGGTTACTGCCATCTAAAGTTGTTTTATAATTGATACGATGTCAATGTCAGTCGGCATGAAGGAAAATTGGGAGATGGTACAGAATCATTTTAATTTTTACATAGATTTTTTCACAAAGACTCTTGCATGTAAGAGTTCTGGTCATAGTTTACGTACCGTATCCTTTCTGTAATATAATTCTTACAAAATACTTATTTTCTTATATAAATTGAAGTGCTGAATGCCCGCTCAAGAAGCTAACCGATTCCACTGAAATTTAGACATGTAGAAGTGTCTCTGATCTCAATTTTGAAAACAACGCAAATATCTTGTCTTGACTTCGGATTGATTGTACTAAATCTAATGAGCAAATATGATTCTGCATATCATCTGTCAACAATCTAATATTGATATGTTGGGAAGATTAAAGATTGGAGAGATGGAGGGTCTTGGGCTCATAACTCATCACACTCTCAGCGAAGACACAACAACTTGTACAGTAGTCTCGATACTGTCGAACAGACTTCAAAGGGTGTGCACACATGAATCATACATAGAAGTCAAAGCCGGACAGAAGCTATAGAGGGGCAGGAGTCAAAGAGGGGCTGCATCCATTCTGCCCGCCCTCTTCGTATGAGCAGGGAATATTAAATATGGTACCTCCATTCCACGTTATGTGGGACGCCATCACACACGTCATCTAAGCACGAGAGTGGGGAGAAAGTGGGTTATAGATACATCAGTCCGACAGCTACGCTTTGTTGAAGGATTGAGAGCACGGTTCTTCCTATCTTCAATGATAGAAGACAAAGTCGAGTGCCTAGCACATTCTGCCTATTATGAAAAATGTCCCTATTTCTGCAAATTCGAAGACTTCGTTATTTTCACTTTGCAATACAAACAATTCACATGCTTGAACTCATTGGAAGTTCATGAAATCAAAAATTCAGGGCAATGGATAGAAGCAAATTTAGAAGGGTAAAAAGTATATATATTAGAATTAAAAATCTCCACAAAAATCATCTCGCCAAAAAGTTTTCTCCCCAAATTTCAACTATCATCTCAAAAGACATGCACGCTCAATTTACTGCTACATATTTCCAAGGATCTTTGCATCATCCTCCCCCGCCCCAATGAAGCACGATCAATGTATAGCCGTGCCAGCTTATGCACTGGTGCTTCCCTCTCTGTTGACTGTAACCGGGTTGCAGACAGCGATTCCTACGCAGTCGAGATCAATAGGAATAAGAACCTGGGGGTCGACATCGATCAAAGAATTTCCATGGTTGTTTTGTACCTGCTCCGCTTGGTTGATGGTAGGGTGAAATCCGGTTTGTTCAATGTTGGCAGGGTCGACATCGGCGGGTTGGACATCAGCGGGTTGGACATCGGCGGTTTGGGCATCACCGGGCTGAACAGTACCTGGGTGGACTGGAGCTGGGTGGACTGCAGCTGGGTGAACTGGAGTTGGGTGAATCACAACTGGTTGGACTGGAGCTGGGTGGATCTCAGTTGGGTGGGCTGGGGCCAATGGACCCTCTCCTGCTTGAGCAGCCTCGTATCCGGGGTTTCCTGCATGGCGAGGGATCATCTGTCGATCAATCTGTTAGAAACAATTTCTCAATAATTCGATTTGAAATTTTACTCACTTTGGCGGCATCCGCTGGGACTAATTGGCCTAAAGCGGCAATCGATGAGTCCTTGCCGACGGGGAGAGCAATGCTGAAGTCCGCAAGGACAACGACGAGGGCAAGGGCAGAGATACGTGAGAATTGCATGTTTTCGGTTTGGGGTTTTGAGTAAACAAATTGTTTTGATGATTGATTGTGGTAGGTTGAATGAATGAGTGGATAGTTTGCTAAATGAGTGTGATTGATGAATGAATGTGAAGTGTTTGATGGATTATTCGATTTCCAATGTAATGAGAATGAAGATATATACCACAATCCTGGCGACTGACCGATTATTCGACCAGGATTCCCGAGATCTGCTGATCATACCGATCTACCATTTCTGAGACAGCAAGAGACCCCGAAAGGGGATCTGGTGTTCCCAAGAAGGCCGCTGAGCGAGTAGAGTTTTCCCTACCGCCGGATCTTAGATGCGAAAGGGAGATCGGCAGATCAGGATCAAGCAATTGTGGATATAACGGAGCAAACATTAAGCTCGCCTTCATTTAAGAACCTTTCCAAACTAACATTAATGAACTCCTTGTCGACCGCTTGGAACGCCACAAAAGTTACTTTAGTGTAATTGACAACGATCTCAATGCGGTCACGTGAGACGATCTCATTCGGACATTTTAAGCTTGGCGATGTAAGGCCAAGCGAAATCTGGTCAAGTCAGGGACAGCGAAGCTAGCGCTCCCTCAGCTGCCCCACCAAAGCACTGACAGAGATTCGTCGTCACCGCTAAAGACCCACCAATTCGGAAAGTTCTATGCAATAGCAAAGGACCACACATAAGACATACTGTACCAGAACGAGAGAGACTCTGCAAATCGCAATCTTGGTGACTCTGCTTGAGTCAAATTTGATTACTATACTCTGTAGTTCACGTTATAGAACAGTTGTTGTCTAGATCGAATCGTCCTGTCTGAACTAATTATCTTGCGGAAAGTCGGAATCCGAGGTGTCGATGAACTTTAAACGCCACCATCTCGTCCGCATGTTGAATTTCCTTTCTCAGACGACAATGATACTGGTACAGTGACTGATATTGAGGATCTCTCGATCCTTTTCCCCGCTAAAAAAGTTTATATCATATTTGTGGATAGTTGAGTGGACCCAAGTGATCGTCAGCTAACTCATCGAAGGATCCTTACTGTCGATTGTCAATCTGCATCTGAATTACCCCCATAGGACATCACAAACGCAATTAGGCGATAGACTATCCGTAGCTCGTCTAACTCCAGGAAAAAGTTTTTAGAAAGTTATATTGTGTTGGGAGAATAATTTTATATCCACTTCAACGGGATATGAATGTGCATTTCGCGAAGTAAGTTATCGTGTTGGTGGATTCTGTACTTCGTAGAAGTCGCCAGCATCAACTCTATAATCAATAATTTCAAGATGTACATCATTTCAAATTAGATTGCTGAACATCACAACCTGATAAAAAAAATGGATGACGATGATATGCCCAAAGCCTGACCCTCAAGAGCACCTCCACTGTGCAAATTGGCCAAAAACCTTGTCCTCTCTCAATGCCAGCAAACATTCTCTCCGTAAGCCCATGCAAATCTCCAAACCTCCCTCTTCAGCATTCTCTCCTTCCCCCTCGGGAATTCTCGGGAAAATGACAAAGACTCCATCAGTCTTCAAACTTCTCCACCTAAACCTTTTGCATTTACCACCGAGGTTGTTCCCCCAATCCAAGGCGTAATATGGTTGTCCCGACCAAGATGAGCACCCAGCATTACGTTGGTGAGATTCAAAGCCGCTTGGCTCTAGTCGGTTAAGATCCGACACTTTCTGGATTGCTTTGATTACGTCTTTAACCCTCGCCTCGTCAACGTCACGCACTGATTGGCGAACGAGGCGTGCGATGGCTCCAAAATCTGTAGTATTTGAGGACATTGATATCAGATCAGAGAACGTGCTATTGGATTTGGCAATCAATACAACATTTCCAGTGAAAGTAGGGGACATGGCAGGTTGAATGCGGTTGCGTCCGTTGACCGTCATGACGAGCAGTGAAGGAGTAGATGGCTCGACGGAGTTTGAAGTAGCTGAACGTGCCGAAGTTATCCTAGACCAAATGAGTGCAACCAAAGCATCGTTTGTAGAGACCCAAGATAAATCGTTCGAGCCCTCATTAGCCAGCTCTTTCAGACGTCGCAAAGAATCGTCTGAGAAGAAAAATACACCCGTTCCCACTACATCTGAAGAAACCGAAACGTATGGCGTGGAAGATAAATCCTCTGGCAACAATTTGTATTCTGGATAATCCTCCAATCTACCCGACCCCTGTCCTTGCAACAGAGCAGAGTTATCAATCCATTCATCAGTCACCAATTCATGACCATTTCCCCCATGACAGAATGTAGACCACAATTTCAAAACGTTAAACATTCCCGCCTCATCCATAACACAATGATGCACGGCGCAGACCAAAATAATGCCACCCCGGATAATGTTTGCTTGTGCAAGAAACACTTGAGCGTTATTTCTTACCAAATCTGGTAACACATCTCCGTCAACTGCATCGGTAGGAAATTTGTTGGCTTGAATACTTTCAAAGTCATATTTGGAACTGAGATCCTTCACCGAAAGAATATCATTGACGCTGAAATAAGGAGCTTGCACGGCAAGTGAGCCTTTTTGACAATTTAGTTCTCGGGATGGCCCAACTGATGCGGCAAGAATAGGGAATGCTGATATAGTTTTTGAAAGACCATCTCTGAGAGTTTGAATGATGTCTTGGGACTTTGAATTGGAGGAGAAATAGAGGAGCTTAGGGACGTGAACGTGTGGTGATAGGTGGTCGAGTGGGGAGAGTGGGTATGGTTCTTTGTTCATGATTTCGATGCAGAGTACAGATATGAATTGTGGAAGCAAGTTTTTGATCAATAAGATGACATGTAATTTATTTCAATTGAACATGAATGCTCTGGGTGATTCTTGGTTTTATTACAACTACAATCGGGGCATTCGACGATGAACTGGCACAACGAATATTGACAACGCACACCACTTCATCGGGCATCTCACTTGTAGAAACAAGTATAACCATATTCCTTGATAGTTCCTACTTAGCTCAGCACAACCCTCTTTTCAATAATTGATGTACTAGTAATAAACCAGGTTATAGTATTGTGGACCGCTGTACCGAGGATATGATCTACACGCACTAGCGGTACCCTGACTAGGCCTTTCGATGAAGCTTATCCAAGTTCCGAAATATTATATTTGTCAATAATGCCACTGTAAAGGCGTTATAGCAACGCTCATGTATTATGCAAAGTCTAAGGTATATCACAATTAGCCCGCTCTATTTTGTTTTTTGAAGATCTTCGCAATGTCCAGTTGATGTATGTAGCTACTCACTCTTCCTTTGATCCCTGTTCTAATCGAAGTTCCTCTCAACAAGACTTTACTTACCATTCTATTATGCTCCATTGACAAGTACCATTTGAATTGATAAGATTCTCGAACACCTGAGATCATCAAAATATCATCAATTCATTAATTCATGTATATCTTTTCTCTTTCTTTGTACATTGGCGTTTTTGCCGTTCTTTCGAAATGCATTTCCATCTTCCTAACCCAGCGAAGACGTCTACAAGAGTCCGAACGGCATGGCTGCGCGCCCCCTCCAACAGTGTCTGGATCTGATCCATTGGGAATCATGAGTGTTATTGCAGCGGCGAGAGCAAATCGCGAAGGGAGAAGCCCGATTTGGTTCATGGAACTTATGGATAAGATATCACCGAATACTTTGACGGTGAGGGGAATGGTTTTGGACACTGAGATTATTATTACAAGAGATCCAAGCTTGGTGCAGTTCATTCTACAGACTGAGGCAAACAAATGGGATATTGGACCACAAAGAAGGGAGATTTGGAGTCCCCTTCTTGGCGATGCTATCTTCACTGCTCAGGGTATGTTACTTTCACTTGATGATGATGAACATGCAGTTAGTTCTTATGTATCACGAACGCTAATTTCAGGAACACAGGCGATGCATGGAAACACTCCAGACAACTTGTACGACCACAATTTTCGAGAGATAGAGTATCGGATCTCGATCTCGAAGAACGACACGTCCAGGCACTATTTGCTCGGCATGAACTTCAAAGCACTCAAGATGGCTGGACCGGAAAAGTTGATCTAGCCCCTCTGTTCTACAATTTGACTTTGGACGTCTCAACTGAGTTCCTCTATGGAAAATCTGTACATTCTCAAGAAGCGGGTAATACAGCCAGTCCAAACCCCATACAGAGCACAGAAGATACGGATTTTCGTACTTTCGGACGTCATCTTGATGCAGGAAAAGAAACATTGTTCATGAAAGGTATTGCTGGTCGGTGGAATGGATTTGTCAAAGGCCGCAACTTTGATTATCACCGCGACGAGGTGCATCGAATGGTCGACAAATTTGTGGAAGGATGCCTCCGTCAAACCCAAGACGAGAAAAGGCCAGAACTCGATTCGGAGAAAAAGCCATTTTCGCTTTTGGATGAATTGGCGAAGGTAAATCAGGACCCAGTTCAGCTTCGCCACGAAACGCTGCAGGTACTTAACGCTGGACGCGATACAACTGGCTCATTGCTCGGCTGGATATTTTATTTCCTTGCACGTAATCCAGATGTCTACTCCAAACTCCGAAGCATCATTCTCTCTGACTTTGGACCATCCGGTTCAGAAATCTCATTTCAATCTTTGCGATCTTGTAAATATCTACAATATGTGATTGATGAGTCGCTAAGGGTTGGTGCACCCGTTCCATTGAACGATCGCACTTGTAATCAAGATACTATTTTACCACGCGGAGGAGGCCCTGACGGTACACAGCCTATGTTTCTACCAGCTGGGTCAAGAGTATTGGTATCAACATACGCGATGCAATATAGGAAAGATATCTGGGGTGAGGATGCCGAAAAGTTCAGGCCTGAGAGATGGGAAGGGAGAAGGGCCGGATGGGAATTTATTCCCTTCGGTGGAGGTCCAAGGAAATGTATCGGTCGTAAGTTTCCCCGTCTTTGAGATGCCAAATCTATAGATAGCTAATTTGTATTGGCAGAACAATTTTCGTTGACTGAGACTTCATATATTATTATAAGATTTCTTCAAAAGTATGATCAAATTGAGAATCTAGAGAAACCAGGCCCAGTACTATATCACCATACTGTCACAAATCGAAGTATGAACGGGGTACAGGTTAGATTGCATAAGGCAGATCCTTTGAGTATTGTTTGATTTATGGGGTTTAATTGGGACGTTCGGGGTGTATACCATTGTTCCATTGTTTTATTATTTTTAATTAATCTTCTATACTATTGCTATGAGCACAGTGTCCAAGAGCCAAGGACACTTGTGCCGTTGCCATATTACCAACAAACTACATCACTAAACTTCGTGACCATGGCGATGAAAATGTGAATCGAATCTGGTAATCATTATGTTATCCATGAATGCATAAAGAAATGCGATGTTACACCTCTACAAACTTGCATACTATTAAGCATCGCAATGGAATTCACGAAGTTGCTCTAGATCTACTCATGCTAAACCATGACTTCAAGCTAGGCTGCCAGACTAAGATTTGAGTAAGCTATTAATATCAGAAAAAAAGAGTCGAACTTCGACATGAAACCAGTATTGCAAATCCTCAAATTGTTTCAATTGACTTCAAGGCTTGACAATTTCTGACTGGCAGACTCCAGCCAAGAAAGCCATTGAATGTAGGCTATCACTTCATATGTGATCTGGCAACTCTTGTTTTCCAACTGAGCCAATCTTGATGAGTTTGACGTTTCTTTTGACTGTCAATAACCAAGGAATCCATTACTTCGATGAGAGGAATTACTGACTCCACGTATTCTGACAAAAAGAATATGGGGAAGCGACGATGGTCACTCATTTCACCACGTACAAAATAAGGTAATAATTCTATTAATGGCATCTGTATCTCCAATGTTCAGGTTACAGATGTATACTTCTTTTATCGTTCACCTTCTCTCCTGACGACTCCATACATGTTCGTAGAGGCCAAAGGAAATTGTACTTAAGCTTGTTCAGTGGTGTTTCATCGTGATCTATGGTTATTATCGCAGCACTTGGACGCAGTCACCGATAAATATCTCGAAGGTAACAATGAAAATTGATCTTCCAATCTCACAGCTTTTCTATAGCATTGTTGAGAAAACGGCTTTTCTTGAGTCTGGCAATGCCTTTTGACCGAACGCCAAAAGGATTCAAGTGATCAGAAACACCTTTGAATACCAAGCCATACCATTTTGGAAGTATATGCTAAATGATCCGAGTCATGCTACAGTTATTAAATGTGCACCACTTTCAGTGTATTTATAGTATGAGGTTGCTATTCGTACCATGCTTGACTTGAAGCATTTCAATATACGCATGAAACCGGGCTCAAAACGAAAATGGGGTAAATGTCAGAGATTTGACCAGTCAATCAACTCCAATTAAGTATGGATTGACATTGACCAGTGGCCATTAAATCCATCTCAGTCCTTCAGTCCTGATATGCTTTTGAAGTTCGCATGATCAAGATTCTTCGCCACCTTTGGCTTTGCAAGAAAGCTCAATCTTAGCTGTTCATTGCACAACTGAATCAAATGAGATGTGAACTGCAATAGAATTCTGCTGGTGAATGCCTGGTCCAAGATTTGATGCCACCACAATTCAACTGATGAGTGTGATTAACGGCTTGTTCATATCCCACGCTTCCAAGTTCATTCTCAACTTTCCGGATACTTCCGAAGATTAGGAGATTTGTGACTTGATCCTTTGCCAGTTCAGGGAAATTCTGAATGCTTGCTTTCAAACCTTGACCTAGTTCATCAGGAACCGTGTAAAGAATCTGTACAAAGAATGATATTCTTAATTTCAGCACAATCGATCTTGCAAGAATCTTCTGCCACGGTTGAAAAGAGTTCAAAGAATCTAAAACTCAAACGCTAATCGTATCACTCCCTCGCTATCAAATCAATAAACATCAAGTGAAACCAGTCAAAAAAATCAATTCGCCATTCATTCCTCTAATCATCCATGGATCTCTTCGCCGCCTCTTCATTTCATACGCCACTAGCCTTCAATTATTAGAAAACTCGTATCAAAGTCGCTGGTTCCTTGACATATAAGTGTATCAACACCTTTCTGGAAAACTATATCAGGAAATGTGACATTTATGCTACTTTTCAATGAAAAGCTCATTCTCTAGAGACGGATGGAGAGGAAGACTTCTTCCTGTGTGATTGCCACCCAAGTTCTGTCCACGGCGACTCCAAACATTGAGCGGCCATTGACTGCCACAATCATCTCAATTTCAAAACTTTGAAACATTCAAAATTGTCAACATGTAATAAAAATATCACAACAAACTGTCTATGAATGCGTTTGTACAGAGAACCTGGATTTTTCGTGCGGGGTTGGAAGTGTGGCTAGTGCAAGTCTATGTGGCGCAACAAGTGAAGCTCGAAACGACGACCGCCCAACTATTTTGATATCTTCGATATCGCCAGAAAAATCTCATGGCACATTTCGATTATCCCTAGGATTTATGCGGCATTAGTGAATTCTGGCGCCGGTCAACATCTTCATGATGCAATGTAAGATTCTAAAGAGCAGAATCCCATTGAAACCCCGCCCTCGGGACAACGCGTGAGCGGAAAGGAAGTGGGCTCTATTAACATCCATGCGTCTTCATCTGTTACATAACTGCTCAGTACATAGGAACATCTACCACGGAGGTTCCTGCGGATATTTTTGATATGGCTTAACAGACACATGCAAACACATTACGAAGTAACAACTCCCTTCGGCAATTTCTGGTTGAATCAGTCGATGAGCTCGTTAGTAGACTCCCCGGAAATGATTTCAGAGGCGGGATATGAACTGCTTTGTGCACGAACAATTGCGACCCTCCAATCCAACACACCGAATTGCGCGAAGACGGTGACAACCAGGACTGATTGAACCGATATCCTTATCGACATGCAACCGCCGTCCTCCGCGAGTAGATGAACAAATTCAAGTTATTTGCATCGATACCATGTGGCCGTCCAAGTGGAATATACGAAAGCTATTGATATGCTCGTCTTCACGTGGAAAATAACTAGCCGGAAGGTTTCAAGTCGGAATCTTGCGAGAAGGCTCGCACAAAATGGAAGCGGATCAGGAAAGAAGTGGTATGATAAGGGCGTGTTTGCAGAAGCTATAGGCACAGATTGAGACATTAAGAGGAGAATTACGCGATTGATCAAGTCGCCGAAATCTTGTGAAGATGGACAAAGGAGGAAGAACTAGGGAACAAGAGGAATCGACCAAGCATGGGAGGGAATTGGAGGACGTTTTCAAGATTGGCGTGAGATACTGAATGGCTACGAGCGGAATTGCTAGTCTGGGAAGTGGTTGATGCTGATCCCACAGTAGAAAAGATTAGAGGGGAAAATATTGGAGTATGACTCTTGAATTTGGGGTTCAGACAAAAGGGAGCAAGTGAGGTAAAGCTCAAGTGAAGCATATGGTCTTCCCAAGTATATCTTGCATGCAACAGTCGTACTATTCAAATCCCACACAGTTTGTCCCACGCTTTCCCCTTCGTTTTTTCATTTGTTCGTTGCCCTCCGAGGGTATCGATAGATTGGTAGGGTACTAAGGATTATGATCGAACAGTGGATCTAGGAGCCTTTCAAGACTGCCAATTTTCAGCCAGGATACACATGGCCTGCATGCAAAAGCTCGACGCTCGGGGGCTGGGTGCCACTACACACATGTGGCATAAAAGATGGTCCCAAGAGAATCTTTGAAATTCAATACACACGACCACCGGGATGTTTTCATCTAAACGATATCAGAGAAGGGTTATAGTAGTATTGCTTTCGATGATAAGCAGTCATTCCATCAAAAACGAATGGTAAGACAAGAAGCAAGAGTGACAAAAACAAAAAGTCTAGAAAATTTCAAAAAAACATACAACAGTAGGGATTCGCTGGTGGTCACCCACCCAACTACTAATCTACCGATCTGAAGCTTGTGTATGGCAGAGCGGACGGGATGCCCAATTCTCTTCAGTCTATGGTCGTATGTGGCAGGATGGTCCTTTTTAAAAACTATAAATGGTTCACAAAACTCTACATTTCCCTACAAGCTGACGCCGATTGGAGATAAATGAACTTGAATTCAAACCATCGTCTTTCTAGAGACAGAGTTTAGTATACATCAAAGAGTTTCCAGGATTCAGGAGATCCCCTCGTCCAAACAACATGCTATATGGATTAGATTGACGTGTTGCTTCAAAGGTTTCATTGGTTGCCGACGAAAAGTTCACCTAGATCATACGGTTGGAAAATCTCTGGTCTCCAACATCCACTTTTTGTTTGGTATACAAATTTTGATTACACATCGCAAAAAGTGGCTACTTCTTCTTTGGAAGCGGCTGTGGCTCCACAATCTCCCCGTCCACAGGTCTTCTCGCAATGATATATTGCTGCATTTCCGGCTCACATTTCTCATTATCCGGCTGAAATTGATCAATCGTCTCACTCACGATCTCCAGTCCCATACTTGTCAAAAAGTTTCTTTGTCCTTGCTCGCTCATCATGAAAGTCGGAAGTGGTTCTCCCATAAATGGCGCATCGTAATCCTCCACATACGTTCTCGTTTCATCATATGCTGCGTTACCTTCGTCCTTAACGTACGAATCACTCGGCATCTGGCCGAGAACAAATATTCCCCCTGGCTTCAGTGCACTAACGTATTTGTACACCGCCGCATGAACGGCTGCATACGAGAGTTGCAGATGAGCAAATATCATAAAGACTCCCGAAAACGTATCTTCAACCTGAAATTGCACCATATCCGACACGGAAAAGGTACCCTTGACTCTCGTTTGAGCAAATTCAACCATCTTGGGTGCGATATCGAAACCAACCACTTCCAGTCCAGCTCCAGCCAACAGTTCTGAAACTGGTACTCCAGTACCGCATCCCACGTCGAGAACCTTCGATCCGGGGTCTAATAAAGTTATTGCTTTCTTAATGGCGGCAATCTTGAAGGAGTTGTCGCGATAAGCTTTTTCGTACTCGATGTTGAGTGCATCGAAGGTGTCATGGCCGGCTTGAGACCCTGCCGCTACAGTTGCCATGATTCAAGATTTTGTCAAGGTGTTATTGTAGCCGTTTCGATATGTGTAGGATAGTACTGAGTGGCGTGCTTGTTCTCAGAATCTCAGGGTTCAAGGGCTGGACCGTTCTAGCAAGACGTGCGGAAAATCAAGGGTTGGATGTAAATTTCGATAAGGATCTAGTTCAATGTGCTACAGAATTCGAAATCAGGCGTTAAAAATGACAGGATCTGAGCTTGAGTTTAGCTAAAGTGTCTCATCTCAAGTGGTACAAAACCAGTTCCGCAAGTTCTGGATGAAACCACAAAACAATTTGTTGGAAGATTGGGTGTCAGGGAAGGAATTAGTATCCCGTTGCATGTCATCTAGAAGAATCGGTTGCAGCTGCTAGCAGCTCCAACGCGAAGAACCCCCATTTCCATGTGATTCGAAATTGAATCAATTTGATTACTCCTTGGTGGCGGGGAAATAGATGAAAAGGAGTTAAAACGTACATAATCACGGGATATCCCGTATAATGTCTTCGAATCCTAAAGTCCTATAGAACACATCGGAGAAGTCTTCATCGCGCTTAGGGAAAGTCCTCCGTGGATACTCGGTTCTTCAATCAAAGTTAATATATCCTCGGGCCAGGGGATTCAAGGTTAATCTCTTCCAGGATCCGAGTCCGAATTAGCGAGGATAAAGTTTCTGAGGAGCCGCGTCAACAAGGATGAAAGTGGGGGCCAGAGAAAATCTTATCCCCTAAGGTGCCAGCTTCGGGCGCCCTCGCTTAATAGGGTCTTATTGACCAATCAAAACATCAGGATTCTGAGAATCCTCACAGTTTCCACATGTTTTTTTGAATTAACTATCGAATACTTAGAAATTTAATAAATATAAATAATACATTCTTTATACTTATATAAAACCTTATATATATCTTTTTTTTATTAATAAATATTGAGTTTTTAATTTAATAATATTTTCAATTATAATTATATCAAAATCGTTTATAATTATTTTCTGATTTTACAGCATGAAATGTAATAATATTTATAAAATCTTCAACCAATTTTTTTTTTAATAAAAAAGTCTTGTAAATATACTTGGTTTATTTATTATTACTTATCTTATAAATTTTAATCTTCAAATATAATATAAAAACCTTTATTTATAATATTATTCTTGAAGTTGTTAATGTTCTTGCTGAACGCACGGGCCACATCGGGCGCCCGAAACTGGCACCTTAGGGGATAGTGGAGAGGAAGTTTTTCCTGGATTATTTTGCGACTGTCCTTGTGGGAATGGGTGATATAAACATGCGAAAATGTCTTTAGCCATGCCCTACGCTCGAGACCAATATGTGTCATTAGCAGAAATATCTCGTGTCTCCGTCAGAGCCAATTCTTTTTAAATTGTGCATCGAATGTTATTAGGATTAGATGTCTGAAATTGTCTGGTCCAGAATCAAGATAATTCCATTGGATGTGATCATCAATACTGAATGACGGAATTCCCCGACCCCTACTTGCCATGATCATATCTTATGCAGGAACAGGAAATGTTGAAACATTAAGTAGTCTTCAGTTTTTAGCAGGGATTGGAAATCTCATACCTTTGTCTATTCATCCATCTATCGAAACCATCAAGGTTGAGAATGCGGACTATTCTACTACAAAGCATGTATGTAGTCACACTGTAGATACTGTTATGAAGCAGGTGTACAGGAAATCAAGGCTCCAAGACTATCTGCTCCACATCCCCTCTAAACTGTGACCGTGAATGGTGAATTTGGACATTCAGGTATCAGGTATCTCTTGAAAGACAGATGAAGCTTAGAATAAAGCAGAAAGTCACCCATGTATGGGTTTCTAATGATATTTTTAATCACCATAACTAGATATCTGGCAAAAGCCATACATCAAAAAGATGTAATACAAACAACCACCCGAGAATGTCTAGAATTCGACGCTTCTATCCCTGACTCCATTGACGACGCCATATCATTGCAATACAGATGGCCTCCCATTACCCTTATAAATGGCCATGTCTATCATTGATCAATCCATCTGTACCGTCCATGTAGTATCCTTCTTGATGATCATCCGCTGAGAATCACTGCTCCCCACACTCAATCCATCTGTTCCTTCTTCCCCGGCCTTGTTCCATAACTTCGAGCCTCCCTCTCCCGGATTCTTGCCTTTCCTCGCACCTCGTTCTGGCTCGTTTGCCCAAACTCGAAATTTATAATCGTCTGGATCCACATCTTCTCGAATTCTGCTCTCTCTGTGGTGGCTTTCATTTCGCATGGCGGAGCCTAGGTTGGAAAGTTGATAGTTCTCTGAATCCTCCAATGTATATCCCGATCTTCCTCCCAGCTCCTGGCCGTAATATGTAGAAAGATTTTTGACAAAAGGTCGAAGACTTGGTATAATGGCGGCAATGACGGAATAGTTCATTTCACTCTGTGTCCATATAATAAACTCATCCTCGAGAAACATTGGGTTCGTGGTCAATCCATTTACATCAAATCTGGCTAGTCGGTAGGCAATGGCGATGATCACACTGAATAGATGTTAGCATGCGCTCCTGTATTGAAGAAGTCCCAAAAAAACGCACGGAAGACGAAACCCAAATGCCACAACGACAATAGTTTTATTTGATTTGCTTGTCCGAAGACTCCATACTAGGTAAAACGATAATGCAACATATGCGAGCTCGAAAACGATATCAAAAGCAGATATGACCTGCCATCTTAAAGACTACAATCTCGGGTTAGATTCATGCTTTGAGCCAAATTTGATTACAAGATAATGCTTACCACGTTGTCACAGCGCTGTCCTATGGTTTTCCACGGATGAGCTAAATTGCACTGTAAAGCCACCGCAAACAGACTCGCAACTGTCCAAGCAGCCGTCAAGCCAATCACACTGCGGAAGATTTTCTTGTGTTTCTGATCTGGGGTCAAACTGCCCAATAAGACGACTACTGAAGTTTTGGACAATCCGAGGGATATGACAAACAACAGCAAGCTCGTATACCACATCTGAAAAATGAAAAAGTTAGCCTTTTGCGGAATTTAATGCGCGCTGCGTAGATGCCTTGAACTTACTTGCTCTATCTGGGCTTGATTCTTGACTGATACAAGTTCGATGGATTTGCCTAAGCCTTTGGCGCAGGCTCCCAACACTACCGATGATTGAATAGCTGCCAGCAGCTACGTTATTTGTCAGCTAAATTCATGATGCTTTCGGGATGTCATCAACTGCGCGAAGTGGCCATCATGAGTGATAGTTCAAGCAACTAACCGTTGAAGCCAAAAGACATATCTCATCATAACTAACGCCTTTTCCCATCGAAGTCCTAGCGAAAGACTTGATCCCACTGAATACCAAGAGGCAAGAAAGCCCCAATGCCGTTGCGATGATGATCCACGCCGAATGATCAGTACTCGTCACAACAGCGAATGGTGGTGATTGACCCGGTGGCACCACCAAGCCAGTCGTCGGCATTGACATAGCACAGGTTCTCGTATCGTTAGTCCAAACAGAATCAGATACCGGACATCCGCCACGTTATAATTATGTCAAAGTGGAGGGGCTCAAACATTCAGACTCGAGCATTGTAGATCAAAGTGCCGGATGCCGATGGTTCATAAAGGATACAGCGAAAGAAGCATTATCCTAGGATTTCTCAAGTAACTATATTCAGTAGAACAGACATAAACGGTACCTTGAGCACGGGAAGAAAGTAAAAGTATTGTTACATAGTGCCTCCGTGCCACGCCCTACAACAGGTGATAAAGAACCGCCCCTTGTGGGCTCCTCCGGAAGTGGAAAGTTGGCATCCAGAATAGTTCGTCGAAAAGCTGCACGAGAAGTCTCGGCTCGCTTGAAAGGCACGGAAGGAATGAGCTGAAATCAGCGTCGGGAGTGATGGTCAAGCTTTTGGGGAACCCATTCCGGGATTCCAGTAAATTGGTTGTGGAAGGGCCATCCTCGCAAATCTCGCATGTCGCAAGGTGTCTTCGTGACGCAAATCTGAATGATTTGCTAATTTGGAAGTGGGCGTTGTGGATTTTCACCTGAAGAGTGGGGTGACAGAGCCTGATTTTCTGTCTGGACTAGGGTCATTCGGTATTTGCTGGGGTATATGGTGGATGTGGATGTAGAGGTCGATCCTTTGTAGGGTTGCAGAATTTGGTATCGTACAATTTTTACATGAATGCAGAATAACTTTGAGCACCCTTAAAAGGGCTTCAGAAACTTCCTTGGATTTCAAATTGAGAAGCAAACTGATAGGAAGATTACATAATCTTCCAATTGAAGTATATTACTGAGTTAAAAATTAACAGCAATTTTTGGGTCTTCTTTGATTAAAACAAAATAGACCTAGATTTTTAACTTTAGATGAGTCTTTTAATTCAAAACACATAGGTATGTATGATTTTGATATAACGTTTTATACCACTTACGCGATGTAACCATATAGAAATATAGAATTATTCCTAAAACAAGCGAATCCCGTAACTCCGCAATGCCGTAATCCCGTAATTCTAATTCTTTCGCTTGCGATTCGATATTTTGAAATGAAGGCCAAAAAATATTGAGACATTTATTAGAAATATGCACGGAGTGTGAAGAAGTTATCGTTTATTTTTTGCCTCGGTTGGTATGAAAACACCAATTCAAAATCTTGTGAGTACACGTAATAGTTGGCCAATTCTCAAATATCGATCGCGCATGGATCGATATGGAGAACCATGAGAGTGCTTTGCTAAGCAATAGTCCCCTGAAAGGCTCAAATAAACGTTTTTGCTTCGTTCCCTATGGTGGCCACTGACCAGAAGCTTCCCGGTAAAATTCATGAGTGAATAAGATTTGCGCATTCATCCTGACAATTGTTCTTTACAATTAAGCGAGGTGTACTGCGCAGGTCGCTATGTTATTGTGCCAGGGCTTTCCCCATCTCCAACACCTTGGGTGGTCTGATTCTGAGAACAGGACATCCACCGAAACTTTTGCTGCACGCATGCTTAACATATCGAAGATTAATCGAAAACAGAACTTCCTTCACACTGTAGACAGCAAAAGAGTAAGCCTGAGATGCGAGATTTCCTGCCCGTATCGCCTAAATCATACGAGTATCAAAAAACGGTAATCGCGTACACTTCTCCACTCATACGGGCCCGTCAATCTTTCTTCCATGCGGCAGTGGGAACCTCATATCCCTGGATCCCCACCTTCCCAAATAAACACGGACATCCCTCTAAATCGGTGGGATGGCCCGCCCCTGAACGTTGTGGCGTTACCTGTATCATCCAATTGGTGTGAAAACAGAAGGATTCACCAATCCTTGAACTACTAGGTAGCTGATACAAATGCCTTGAAGAAATCAATATGGGCTGTTGAACTTGCATGATTTATTGGATAGATGTCGTTAGATGGTTGTTATTGGGTTAAGGTTGTAAATCGTCCGCTGACTTCATATATTTAAGTTTTCGACTGCATCCGTATTTCGGATGAAGATGAGAAAAGAACATGGGGAGAGTTTGAAACGATAGCTTTATAGGTCTGGACTTGGTTCTTATATGAAGTAATAATACACAGGTACGGCTTGTCGGCAAGACTGAATTGGGAATAATTTCAGGGCACAAATAGAGTGGGTAATGCAATGCTGGATTGATCGTAGTTTGCATCTACCTTGCATCATGCATTGATCTTATCTTGATATCCATTGTGCAAAAGTTCGTTCTCTTGTCTTAGAACCATATCTTTGCGACTTCAATTCCTTCATTCCATGCGTATTCTCGACTCGTGAAATTGAGCTGCGCGGGTTCCAGCTTTCCATCTCATTGTCAACATAGCCGCCCTCGAATTTTCCTTGTTAGTCACCATGACCCCAGAGATTCAGAAGGACGGAGAAGTGATATTTGCAAGTCGAGAATCAGGTGGCGCTGCTTCGAACAGTCAAGATGTTGAGAAGGAGGATTTCGAAGACGAGATTCCAGGTCAGGTCGCAAAGAAATGGCGTGGAACGAGAGCCGATCAACAGGACATGGCGGTGTTAGGAAAGAAGCAGGTTCTACGTGTAGGCTCCGCCATTATCAATGGGTAGAATGAGTAATGGCTGACTGGATTCCATATAGCGAAACTTTAAATTTATAACGATGCTGGGATTTGCTAGTACAGCTATGGCGTCTTGGGAACTTTTACTTCCCCTCTTCACATTCGTCATGGTTGATGGAGGGACGGCCGATCTGTTTTGGGGGTTCATTGTTGCTGCTTGTGGCATGTCTTTGGTATATGCTAGTATTGCTGAAATGGCTTCTATGTGCGTGCCATCATACCTAAACTCTGAATTCAGCTCATTCTCGTTCTGGTAACTAACGTGTCGAGAATATAGATCGCCAACGGCAGGTGGACAATACCATTGGGTCTCAGAGTTTGCTCCTCCCAGGATACAGAGGCTGCTCAGTTACATCGTGGGCTGGCTTTCTGCTATTGGATGGCAAGTATATCTTGCGGGTGTCTGCTTTATGATCGGTGGGATTCTTCAAGGTCTTATTGCCCTCAATAAAGCCGACTATGTCTACGAGCCATTCCACGCGACTTTGCTCGCCATCGGAGTTGTAACGTTTTCCGTTGTGTTCAACACTTCCTTGGCCGAACGTCTACCATTGATTGAGGGTATCGTCTTGATTCTTCACTTGATCGGTTTCTTCGTTATTATCATTCCGTTATGGGTCATGGGACCTCGTGGCGATCCAAATACTGTTCTTTTGAACTTTACCAACGATGGCGGATGGTCTTCCAAGGGATTGGCAGCCATGATCGGACTGGTCAGTCCAATGAGTGTGTTGATTGGTTATGACTGCTCTGTGCATTTATGTAAGTTTTCACCATTGAGAGACATCGTCTGGATAGAATACTAACATACTATGTGTGTAGCCGAAGAGATTCAAGACGCATCCTGGGTAGTTCCGAGAGCCATCATGTGGTCAGTAGGACCCAACGCTACTATGGGATTCCTTATGGCAGTGACTTTAATCTTCACCCTCGGGGATCTCGACGCCGTTCTTGAAACTGTGACTGGCCAGCCTTTCATGCAAGTATTTTTCAATGCAACGCAGAGCTACGCCGCCACAAACGTTATGTGCATGGTCGTAGTTATCCTCCTATTATCTTGCTGTATTAGTGAAGTGGCTGCCGCCTCACGCCAGATTTGGTCATTTGCTCGAGACGGAGGATTGCCAGGTTCGCTTTGGTTGTCCCAAGTGTCGCCCGGTTGGAACATTCCACTTCGCAGTGTCTGCGTTTCAATCGCCGTCTCATCCCTACTCTCACTCATCAACCTTGGATCATCCGTTGCCCTCAACGCAATCAATTCTCTTGGCGGTGTTTCAATTCTATGTTCTTACTTCATCACAATCAGCTGTTTGGTCTGGCGCCGTTTACAAGGTCCCCTTCCTCCACATCGATGGTCTCTCGGCAAATACGGCATGGCTATCAACATTGCTTCATTGTGTTTCTTAGCACCCATTACGTTCTTCTCGTTTTGGCCTCTCCAAACACCCGTCACCGCCCAAAATATGAATTGGTCGAGTGTGATGTTTGTAGCCACGTTATCTGTAGCGTTGATTTATTATTATTTTAGGGCAAGGCACGTATATACCGCACCTGTGCTTGCGATGAAGAGACGGGAATAAATGATGCATATAAAACTCATCCGGCGTTATTGAACTAAAAGGTTCACTAGTTTATTAGAAGCATCCATTTGATGCAAAGAAAAATATACAAATCTTCATTTAGCCGTTTAAAACATTTCAAACAGTAAATATGCGTGTCCTCGGCCAATCCCAGGTATTCGGTGTTGAAAGATTGGAAATTGCACCTGGGATATGCTATCTATGTTAGTATCCAGTTAAAGGACTCTATTATTCACCGAATTTAGTAAGAAGTATACGGTCTTTAACATACTACTCATATATCCGATATCAATGAAGCCATGATCAAGCTCCAAGGAACAACCCATCGCGTCAAGAATGCACACAAAAATTATCGATGTGCAATGCGGGGATATCCACTTCAATGAATTATGATCATCATCATTTTGAAGTATAACTTATGGGATCGAACTCGAGCCGAACTAACTTAAGTTTTCAATTGAAGATCATCGACACCCGTGGACCGTCATGTTTAAATCGAAAGAAATGTTGCAGGGATTTTGAAGCAATGGACACTTAGCATCCTCTCGCAAGCACATCACCTCGGTGTGGACGATGTGGACGAAATATATGGGCCACCAAAATCTAAACAAAATTGGGGGGTTTTTTTTTATAAATAATTAAACAATTAATCAACAAATTAAGTCGGGTACCCTACTTTCGGGCTACCCCCCTTTTGGGCTACTTTTTAACCACTTTTTATACCAAAAATGGAATTTCTAACTTTCTTATTTATAAATAGAATTTATTGAAAATTTATATACATATAATTCAGATCGTTCTAAACTTATTCTGAGATTTTCAGATTTTTAGGATTTTTCTGTATCGAGATTTAGAGCTTCAAAATATCGATTTTTTGATTTATATAGGAATCACATACAAATTTGAAAATTTTATAAAATCTTTAATAACTTTTTGATAAAAATTGCTAAAAATAAATTATAAAATTTTATTATAAATTTATAATATATTTTATTTAAGAGATTCAGAAAAAATAAAAAATTTCTTATAAATAAATATTTATAGAGGTACCCTCAAAATGACAGGGATTATTTATACTACTCTAAACTTACTGTATACTATATCTCTATATTTGCTAATTTTTTCGAATTTTTTTTTGAATTTCTATATAGATTCAAATTTAAATATCTCAAAACTATATATAGTTTTCTTTTAATTAATGTTGTTAAAAAGTTATTAAAGATTTAATAAAAAATTTAAATTTGTATGTAATTCCTATATAAATTTGAAAATCGATATTTTGAAGCTTTAACTCTCAATACAAAAAAATCCTAAAAATCTGAAAATTTCAGAATAAGCTTAAATCGATCTAAATTATATATATACAAATTTTCATTGAATTAAATTGAATATTGATAGAGATATTAATAGGCCTAAAAAGTGATTTTTGGTGTGAAAGGGTGGCCCAAAACAGGGGTGGCCCGAAAGTAGGGTAACCGACTTAATATTCTCTTTTGAAATTTGGATGGAAATATATGCAAGTTGAGACTTAACCGAGAATTCCAATCTTATCAGATCATGTACCAAATTGATATCGTAATATAGCATCGAAAAACAGGCGTTGTGGAAGATTCTATGATGTTGGTGGGGGTGCCCCTCTTTTCCGGCCACACCGACATCATCTAAAGCCGAGACATTATATAGAAGATTTTCTCCTTACTGTGTCCTGCAAGAAACGTATACTGCATAATCCACAGCGTAGATAACAGACACAGTTTGCTATTACACGAGAAATGGAGGATCGAGTAGAAGTGAGATCGACGTCTCAGGGGCCCAAGTCAGAAACCGAGGTAGCTCAAGCCTCAAGGGATTCTTACTCTCCGAGGCGGCGTAATGAATAAACCCATATAACGATACAATCATCTCCGAGTCATTTGACGACGGATTTGTGACCAGACATGACAACAGTGATGATCCTGATAGGGGAAACTTCGTCGCCCAAAGAAGCAGGGACGTAATAATGCTGACATTTGATGGGATACTTCCACCACATCATCCACCACATCATTCGTACATGACTCCGAAATTAGGACTTTTTAATTCGCACAAAGACGATAAGCAGTTTTGCTTTGAAGCATGCTGTAAATGATTGCGTAGACGTAATCCAGGCCCAACTTGGGATTATCTTCACTAAGCGAAAACCAATTCGAGATATCTTGCCCCCATGAGGACGCTCCAGCGTATAGCCATATCTCTCAACCTCAATTCGTCTTTTTATCTTCAGTGTTCACTTTCTCCGTCTTTCCAATCGTTGGGCTATTGATGGTTAGCCAATACCCACGGACTCGATTCCGAAGGTTGAAGAAAGCTCACTTACACAGCACTTATAATTGGCTTTTCTTCATGCCCATGAGTGGTCTCGTTCATCTCACTCCTTTCAAGCAGCATCAATACCCATGGCATCCCCTCGAATAGTATCAATGACAACATCCCTAACCCCGCGCCAAGTAAATTCGTCTCCCAAATCCATTCTTTGTATCCCTCTTCCCATAACACGAAACCCCCCACTAATTCCGCTATCACCATAAAGAATCCAGCGACCAAACCAATCGCGATCCTAAATCCTGGCACGCGCGGTATTTCATAATATACAATCACAGTCCTCGCCCACAACGCCACCGTAAGAATATATATTGGAAAGGCGATAAGTTCTCTGGCTGGAGCCGTGAGATGGTTATATGGTATGACTTGATTCAGAACAATGAACGATGAGAAGAGAGACGATAGATATGTGAGGATAAAATATATGAATGCGATGCGGACAATAAAGAATGCCAGGGCGAGATCCCATAGCAGTTCAAAAACCGAGGCATCTGTTTCAAATAATATCATTTTGGACTTTCTTCGTAGTTTGTAGGATGGTATGTGGCTTTTCGATGTTTGGATTGATTGCGGTGATGATAGTCGTTGTCGCTGATGCTTCAATTGTGGTTTGATAGATGCAGGAAGAAGATTTGACTATGGTTTAGCATTCTTGAAAATGATATAGCTTTGTTCTTGTATCTTGAGCACAAAGATCTGCCTCCCAATTCCTATCTTTCATGATACTCACCTGTTTCTTTGCGTCTCTACTTACCTACAACAAGTGGTCTGATTTGTGGTGAGATAAGTAACCAGTTTTATCTGTTTACCCATTCTGCCGATGCCGAGGTATGCATCCATCTTATGAATGCGCAAAAGGCCAGAGGAGGCGAGTTTGGATATGTACCTATTCTTTCGATAGGGAAATACATCAGACTTGATGAAGTCGTTGCCAGACTTGAGGTTGATTGTTTTAGGATCGAAGGTAAACAATTGATGTTCATTGAAGCTCGGAGGCCAAGATTCTGCAACGGCCGCTAGCTCTGCAAGCCGCCAGCCACACATGTCTTGGATTCAAAGCAACCGTTCCTTCTCCCAACCACAAACATTGAATATTCAAGAATACTAGGTATATCCAACCGCAAACGACTTTTATTGAGTTGAGAATTATCGATTTTGTTTGCTAATACCTGCTCATTCTTTCTGTGAGGTCTTTCTTGCAATTATAGCAACTTATCATATCATCTCGTCGCAAGTGTGATGGAATATACACTTTATCCCTCTGAGGTCTCCCATTCTCTTGTGCTGCTTCATGATTTTAAAATTCAGCTGAGGATGGCATGTAGTTTATGGGAGAGTTAGGCTCCTCATGAGGTATGATTATAGTTGATGCTTGAAGGCAGATGCCTATCTTGATCACCTTTGACCTGGTCGACTGGTCCTCCCTTTCTTGCAAATCCGCACTCCTGATAGAGAAGTCGCCCACGAATCTTTCATTCGACCAAGTACCAATACTTCAATGGGATGCAAGACCTGCTCGCTCTCATATCTAAACGGGATGTCGTCTCGAGAGCTTTTGAAATATACTCGGTGCTGCGTACAAGATATGGCTACAGGTTTCATCCAAGCAGATTTGCAGCCCAGATTGTTTTTCAGGCCATTCTAGTTTAATAGTAAGTACCGAAATTTCAAAGTCTGATCGCACTTTCCTCTGATACGCAATCGTATTACATCACTATGGCTACCATGTTGAGACCTTCCCATATCGACCTTCCTTCACATTCATGGTCTTCATACTCATAGATACCTTCAATTCGTGTTTAAACCTCTCTTCTCATTCAACATCTTCACATCGAAAACACGTCTGCAAGCAATCAACCTTCACTATTGATTCACCTAGTTACATTGACCGACTGAATATTCATCTTAAACGGAAACATGGCTATCAATGTAGAAACTCTCGAAGATCTCCGAAAAGAGATCGAACAACTACGCTCCCAGCAACCTTCATTAAATTCCCACGAAATCTGGGAACATCTAGCCAAAAATTCGGACAGGCAGAAACCACTGGAAGAAATTACGGTGGAAACTTGTCTGGTAGCGTATTTCGATTACCCTGAAGAAGAGACTGTCAAAATAAAGGCCAGGAAAGCCGAATCTGAATATTTAGAGGGCGAGAATAAAGTTCTCATGGAATTACTTAAGACTAAATCCACTAGCACCAAACCTATACTGCCGGTTACAAAAAATACACAGTCTGAGTCCGAAGATATACAGTCTGACTCCAACGATACACAGTCTGAATCAGAAGATATACAGTCTGAATCTAAAGAGATACACCCCGGTGCTGAAGATACAGAATTGGGTTCCAGACCTACACCGTTGGAGATCGAACGGTTTGTTACAACACGCGGAAATATGGTTCTCCAACTACTTAAAGATATGAATCCTGGACGAACATATGAGACTTTAAACCACAAATTATTGTTTCGACGCATTGCCGAGCTACGCTCAGGGAATCCTAAATTAACCCCTCGTCAAATTTGGCGACGTCTTAAAGAGGAGCTGGATAGTCAGAATTCATTGGAAGAAGTCGTTGTAGAGGCTTGGATGGTAGTGGGGTTTGATTATCCTTTAGAGAAAACAGTTCAAATGAAGGCTCATGAGAGCCAGGTGCGGCAGAGCGAAAGAGATCGAGTGGAAAAGGAACTAGCTGCTTCTGCATTTATTAAAAGTAAGCCATCATTCATGGAAGACACGGTCTGATCTTAAAGATGCACATTTTGACTTGCTAACCGGGATTACAGAGTGGTACGAGTATCTCGTGTCCAATCCTAACTTTCAAAAAAGAGTCGAGGATTTAGAAAGAGGGGTTCTTGGAGAGATCCATGACCTGTGGTCTCAAAACCCTGATTCAAGCTCTCGTTGGATCTGGGGAGAGCTGAATAGAAACCCAAATGGACTGATGCCATTGAAAGAAATAGTTGTGGAGGCTTGTTTGGTAGCAAATGGGTATCCTTTGGCAGAGACTATCCAGTTGAAGAATGAAGAAAACCGGTGGTGGAAGGAAACCGAAATTCTACGATATGATACCCAAGATAGCACTTTTCTAGCCTCGAAATTAGGTGAAGGAATGGAGTCTATAGTGCTAATCAACAACAAGCTGAACCTTAGAAAGGTTGTTCAAGACATCAAAGAGCTACGACATAGTCAACCTACATTAAGTCCTCGTCAGATCTGGGTCGATCTCGACAAACCAAACTATTGGCCGGCACCATTGCTAGAAATCGCGGTGGAAGCTTGCTTGATCAAATTTTTTGGCGTTCGTCCTGAAGATACCACACAACTTGAAACGTTAGATTATGACGAAGTGCCTGGGAAGAGGTTCCTCGATAGGATCCTGGATTATTGTTTTGGCTCGCATAAGCTCGGAAACCTTAGCTGTGCATGCTGTGGCTCTGCAAAAATCGTAGAGAAGTGTGAAATCGAACATTTTCGAAAGAATGGAAGAGTGAAGGTGGACCCTAAGAACACTCGAGCAGTTGGCTTATTAAGGATTATGCTCGATACAAAACATACTATCAAGAGCTTCTTACCAATAAACACACCCACCGCGTTGGCTCTGATGCCATATCGCGAGATGAACGCTAGTCAACGAGTTTACGCCCTTTTTTATGCAGAGTGGGATGCATGGATGGGACCATCACGCCCAATCCATCCTCCAATTGATTATGTCGCAGGTGCTGAGAGAACTGCTATTCTTGATTCGGAAGACTATCTTGATTGTGTAGATGAACTTCCAACATGGACTCCAGAAAACATTGAGAGTTTTGAGGTACATGTACAATGCGCATTAACAACTCCATGTTGGGGATACCGCGGTTCACTTGAATGGCTGATGTACGTTTTAAAACGAACACGAGACCCAGAAACCATCAAAATGGTTAATAGTGTGAGTCATCTTAGAACCTGTTTTGTCTTTATATCTTTCATCGGATACTAACTATCCCGTAGGTTGTCGCCGGATTCTACGGCCTGAAAATGTATCATATGGGAGGTGGCTTTATCGAATTTCACAACTGGCATAATGATTGGTTCCATTCCTTTCGAGTTTCCCATGGAATCGTTGCATTTGTGAGAGAGAAAGAGAATTCTCCAGAGGTCATGTGGGCGGAGAGAGATGAAGAGGGGAAGTATACATCACATTATGGGGCCTGTCTATTTCCAGTAGGAGTATCGACACCGGTGCTCAAAGCAAGGGATCCAGCAGGATCGCCCCTTTGGGACTTTGGAACGTTTGATCATGGACATTATGCATCCAAGGATTAAGATTCTGACATTGAATTCGATCCAATTTTTGCAAAACAGTTGAGGTGTGTACAAAATCGGCTCGCTATTTATATTTCTTACGCTCTCTTTGTAGTACATTGTTTTCAAGGGGTTCTATATAAATATAAGAAACCTCGATTAATAAATGAAACTTAACAATTACACATCGTCTTTATTGCGTGCGATGGTATTTGTGTACGTGGGAATAGCTTCAATTCATAATACCTATTGTATTAATTAATTCATGCATTAGCGTTATGTCCCATGACGTCAATCTTTCTATAATTTGCTTCCAACCCTTTTTTTAGCCATCCAGCCTCCATATCAGCTTCTCGTAACCAGAATCATATATGATACATACTCGTACATAGGTACTTAGTATCTATTGGACTCAATATATCATTCCATCCATTCCACCCTTCAAAGTTCAAGATTCATTCCCAAAGACAAGTCGTCCCAATAAACCCATTCCACCCCACTCACCATTTTCCCCAGCTGAAAATATGGATAAGTCACATGCCACCTATCTCTCTCCACAAGATCTCTTGAAAAGTTATCAACCCGCTGAAGTACCTTTCTCCGTACCATCAGAAGAGGAGATTGGCGAGCGGGAAAACGATGTATTGCTCATTCCGATCGATGTCCCAGATTTATCTGGAGAAATGTATTCCGCGCCTGTGGAATTAGAGGGGGAGGAAATAATTGGACCGGAAGAAGAAATCTCAATCATCCCAATCAACATCCCAGAAGCATCATCAATATCCTACTCCGCACCCCCAGAAGAAACCCCAACCGAGGAGCCAAACCCACCCCACAAAATCCGACTCAACGCGCCCGCCTCCTCACCCAAATCCCACACTCCCTACTCCATCCGCTACGAACTCCCCTCCCCCCGCTCCACAATCATCACCCAGAAAGACATCGGATTCCTCTCCGACGCCGGAGTCCGCGGTTCCGTATCCACCGTCTGCCACGGGACATTCCACTCCCAACCCGCTACCCTCATCCTCTTCACATTCATCTTCCGCTCAGGCGACCATGGATTCCGTTTCAAAAACGCAAGTGTAAAGATGAATTTCTCCTCTTACTCTCCCCCCTCCTCCTCTCCCCCCAAACAACCCACCCAGACCCCCTCCATCTGCGCTCTCGCCCCCCGCAAAATCTACGGCCTCCCCAGCACCACCCACCAAACGCGCAAACTCACAGGGGAAATCTCCCTCCAGGTTCCTCTTGGCGCTACAACTCTCGGTCCCTCCACCTCCTTGTCACACGAATCCTCTTTCGCGCTCACGCATCGCTACGCGCTCGTGGGAAATCTCTGGTCGCGTCCCCGCTCTTCCACCTGGGATGCAGCGTACTGGGATGTGCGCGAGAATAAGCTGACGAAGGGCGGGATTCCGGATCGGGTGGATGTGGGGGTGGTGGTTTGTAGAGAGGGAGGGGGGTTGATGGGGGAGGTGAGGGTGGAGGTTGATACGCCGGTGATGAGGGGCGTGTGGGGGTGGCCGTGGGGAAGGGGGAGTCCGGTGGTTTTTGTGGAGGGGGTGGAGACCGGGGGGGAGAGGGTGCGCACGAGGAGGTTTGAGGAGTTGGGGGCGGGGGATTGGAGGGGCTTGGTGGGGTGGGAGGGGGAGTGGGTGGATGTTGTTGTAGGGGGGGAGAGAGAGGGGGAGAGAGAGGGGGAGAGTAGAAAGGGGGAGGAGAAGGTTTGAAGCTGTGTGTAGGTAAATAAATATCACGAGAACAGGATCCAAGAACAAAACGCAAGATCAAATAAACACAACCAATCCAATCAAACCTATCCTTACTTACTTACTTACTTACTTACTAACTTGCCCACTTCCAATCCGATCCCGTATATATCAACCCACGAACCAATTTCCACCTCCATCTCAAATGCCAAACTCCAAACTCCATATTCCAAATATTCCAAGCTGAAAACTAAAAATCGCACGGTATATTTAACTTGTAGAAGTTTCTTATTTCCTGAAGTTTGAACAGGTAGGTATCTAAACTAAATACAACATCTACCCAATCATAATCACACAGTCAATAATCACACACAAGCCTGTAAATATTTTCAATTCTTCATTATCATAAATGCTATATCCGTATACTACCTAGTATGTATACGATATTATCGAATCAAATCAAATCCCAACATAAATCATAAGTCCCCAAGTAACCGCACTCAGCCCGCGGTAGGGCCATAAACCTCGGCGTCAGTTATATCCATGAGCGCCGGAGCCCACGAGGAGCTTTTTGATTTTGGGGAAATACTATTATGGTATTGTGTTAGCATAATTTCACATTTCTAACAATCAATCGACGAAAGAGAAAAAGGAGAGGAAAAATAAAAATGACATAAACTTACAGGAGTACCGAAACCGGTCGCCGCGTCCCAGCCGGTTGTTGCAGGGAATCCATTAGTACCGCATCCACTTGCAGATCCAATGGTGACATCTGTGAATGCTTTATATCCCTTTTTATACAACCACGGGTTCAACCATCCCAGTGTTGGTTTTCCCGCTGCAATCAACGCATCGTTGATTAAAGCGAGAATTGCCGAAGCAGTAGGAGTAGCAGCCGAAGTTCCATCGAGATGAACAGTAGTGCCGTTCCAAACCGTGATGTAAGCGTATCCCTGGGCAGCGATATCTGGGAAGGCACGACCGGTCGCGTTGAAGAAGCTTGTGATATTCTTAGGCAGAGAGGCGAGATATGGTTTTACAGCCGCATCTTGCCAAGAAGGACGAGGGAAGTAGCGAGAAAATCCACCGCCGGAGACATATCCATTGCGGGCATCGGTAGCTACGACTTCTGGGTTGATAAATTTGGTTCCACCGACTGATGTAACGTAAGGACAAGTAGAAGGAAACATGGCGAGGAAAGTAGTGCTGTTGTCTACATTCGAAATACATGTACCATCTGCTCCGACACCGTTATCTCCAGATCCGAAAAGAACGGAAACACCTCTAGCTCCCAATTGGGCAAAGCCTTTGCAGACGGAAACGGCGTAAGAGTATGGAACAGTTTGTTCAGTATCTTGATATGAGTTGCTGACAACACCTGGAAGATTCTTTTGGCTGAGTACATATTGTAACCAATCAAGGTAAGGCTCATTAGTATCAGTAGGTGTTTGCTCGTCTGGGGTGAAAGGAGGTGAGCCTCCAGTTGTGTAAGCAATCAATGGAGTTGGATAACCAATTCCCAGCATAGTTTCCGAATCCAAATTGCCCTCAAGATCTTTGCCAGCTTTGAGTTCTGTGGCATTTTCTTGTCCTTGATCATTGTTACCCCCATTAATGACTTGAACATCAAAACTGTATGCCGCTGATGCTGCTTCGGGTCTGTATTGTTCGAGGAAGAGTTTGGTATCAGATCGATTGTTAGATTCACCGAGGTAGTTTGTAAGAGCCATCTTGTTTTTGCCAGCTGCTTGAACCTTGTAGTCTACGGTACCGTAAAGAGTTCGAAGACAAAGTGGGGTTACGGAGGAGACGTTGCATACATCAGCCGCAGTTTGTCCAACGGTAGGAGGTTTGTAGTTTGATGGTGCTAATGCTTGATATTCTGCGGCTTCACTGATTTTCTTCATGGTCTTTGCTACAGGGCGTGGTTTGAAGAAAGAATTGGTGGGTTGAATTGTCTCGATGTGATCGTGGAGATGAAGAGGTAAAGACCATTCCGGAGTGCGAACGATGTATTCTCCATCTTCATGTTGATATGTTGAATATTCCGTGTCGAGGAGAGTTTCAATATCCTCGATGGAGATGGTAACTTTAATCCAATCTTTCGCTGGACTGTATTCGAGAGAGGCTGGTTCAATGTTGTTGTCTTGAAGCCATTCATGAACGAGATTATGAGTTTCATCAGAAGGCTTAACAAGATCATTCACCTCATCAGCACTAAGATGTTTACCATAACGGTGGTGATCGGGATCAGAGACTATGATTTTGTTAGTAGATTTTCAATCTCAATTGCTCACTCCCTTGGTTTTCGAACAAAGTATTCATACCTTCATAAAGATGACGTTCCAATTCATCGAATTGACCTTGCTTCAAACCAATTTGAAGATTGATCATGTGGTTTGAACGAGCAGGTCCCACTCTTTGCCATTGAGGTGGTGGATAATGAGTTTCCTTCACCGCATATGGCGTACGAGCTTTGATGGGAGAGCTCGATACCAATCCGACAGCCAGAAATGCCGCGAAGGTAGCAATTGAAGTGACCATGATTGCTAATTGATTGCAGTTGATGGAGGTGAAGAGAAAAGCCAACTACTTTCGAAGAGGAGGTGGGAATGAGGGGTATACATACATATATTTATTCCCAATTGAATACTCCATCTACCTAGGTAGCTTTTAGCTTTTAGCTTTGTATTCACCAGAGTAGCTCAAGGGTAGTAGCTCATATCCAGAACAGGCAAAAGGAGTAACATTCACTCCATGTCCCCATGTCCTCCCACACCTTATCAATTGAAAATGCATATCGGCTCGTGTAGCGAGGTTTTGGCAACGATCAACCTTCCTTTTGTAGTATCGTGTGAAGGTAAGGTACCATGGATAAATGGAGTGGCGATACATTTCTCCATCTTTTCCAATCTTGATGTGGAAGGTCGACAATTGATGGTGCGGTGTAAGCTACGACATTACGATACTTGGATGAAGGATAGCAAAGTATTAAGAGCTTCAGTTTCCATATGTCATACATACATATATCGTATACATTTCCATACATTTCCACGACCGAGGATTGCATTGGTGAATGTAATTACCATGGAGACCTCGGGAGTGGTTGATGTATTCGGAATTTGCATCCCCTAGAGTGCGGGTTTATGGCGCCCAAAGTGGTCCGTATACCGAATAAGAACATTTATAGTTTTATAAATAGTATTATATATAAAGATTTCAATGTTATATTTGAAAATTGAAATTTATTAGAAAAGTAATAATAAATATATCAATTATATCTTATAATTTTTGAATTGCAAAATAATAATTAAATGATTTTAAAAATATTATTATATTTCATTCTTTCAAATAAAAATATTTGTAAATAATTTCTATATAATTTATATTTAAAAAATATATATCAAATCAAAAACTCGATATTTATTAAAAATAAAAAGTATGAATAAAAGATTATATAAAACTTCAAAGAATATACTATTTGTTTTTATCAAAATAATAAGTATTAAATAACTATTATAAAAAAACGTATTAAAATGACAAGAATTCTCAAGATTCTGATGTTCTGATTGGTCAATAGATCCCCGTTAAGCGAGGGCGCCGTAAACACGCACTCTAGGAGATAATCAATGTGGTGTCGCTGATGGTTAATCCATTCGGGTCATCTCCGCTCCAGTAGATAAGAAAGAAGCTTTGCATGGGTGATGGAATTGCTCGGCCGGCTTGGAACCAACCACCATCAATCAACAATACCTACGACGTACCATCTACCTAGCAAGTTCAAACGACAATCTAATCGTCGTCTTGAGGATAACATATCTTCATATCCATCAAAGGTATAGGATATCTCTCGAGCTGCCAATCAGACTACAACACAGCTCAATGTTGAAAATGTCTTTGTCTCATGCGACATCTTGGCGCTTACGCCCGATTGAAAGCTTTGTATATTGCTGCACAACTTCATCATTTGAACTTTATTGTTTAAACATGATCAGAATTAACATTGCAGATAACTAAATACCATCCAGAACTTCCACACCTCCGAACAGCCGATTCAACTCCTCTCAAGCCACCACCTCCCAAACCGCCACCTCCCAAACCACCCACCATGACCTTCTCCCTCACCCTCACCCCCCTCCTCCACCTCCTCCCCACCCTCTTCGGAACAATCTTCATCCTCTTCGGCCTCAACGCCATGCTCCGCCCCCTCCACGCCCTCACATTCTACCCCTCCCTACACCACTCCCTATCCCCCTCCCTCCCACAAAGCCCCTCCAACACCATCCTCCTCGAATCCCTCCTAACCATCTACGGCGCACGCGACATCTTCATGGGCCCTCGCCATGCACGCCGCATCCTACCATCGCAATTACAAAACACTAGGCTGGATTGTGGTTGCGGGGAGTGGTGTTGCGTTTGTGGATGGGTGGGTGTGTTGGAGGGCTGGAGGGGGACAGGGCGATCATTGGGGGTATGCGCCTGTACATGCGGTTGTGGGGGTTTTGCTGGTGTTGGGGTATTGAGGATGATATAAGGTGTTGAGTTGCTTCACGGATTGGGATTGTTCATTCAATCTTTTTGGAATGTTCAAATGGTTTGATTGTTTCGAATCGATTGGATATTCCAGATCTTTCAAGAATTGTTCTAAATGATTCAGAATTTAGGGTCACAAAACTATCGCCATGTCGTTGATTCAATTGTCAAATGTGAAGATTCAGCTTCCATGTTTTGATTTTTACACGGCAAAGCAAATTCTCGCATCAAATCACATATGAGTTGTCACTCCTTTTAAACCCCTTCGATTTAATCTACATTGATCTTAGAGACGGTGTAAAAATGTCAATTCAATGTTTAGAACATTCTCCTTTCCAAACGTATGACGAATTCATGAATCTTCTGATTCCATTCCAAAGCTTTCAAACTCTCCCATTATACCGCTGCGCTCCCACCGCCGCACTGGCTTTCACGACAACATCAAAAAAACCTCCTCCGCCGCTGATACTCGCGCTTTCTCCTTGCTAGTCCCTTCCACCATACATTCATAAGTCCTGAAGGGTAGAGCTGCATTGACTCCATACAAAGGAGCAACCTCTATCACCTACATCATCATGGCAGATAACGCAACTCCAGCGCATGGAATTATGTCCTAGAGAGCCATCTCTACCATCTGAACAATAATGACAAAGGAAGCAAGCATCTAACGGACATCGTGAAGATCTAGAACCATCTAGGAGAACTATTGCCAAGGGGTATTGGCAGTGGAATGAGACATCATTCGATAGTATGTCCAAAGAGGTAGGTAGTGACTCAACATTCCAATCCCCTAGCGAATTTCAAACTCGCAATTGTCCATGCATTGTCAGACAGGTGTAAGATTTGACTGACCACTTTCTTTTGGCGAGAATATTGGCCAAGGGATTGGAAATTCGGTCTTTCTGCCAATACTCGAAACAAGTTGCTTGATAGAAAATGGACGAAACCGGGTGGGTGGGAACAATAGAGAGATAGTTTCTCATGTACTTCGAGTTTCAAGTATCTATTTTCGCTGGCCACACCAGTAGATCAAGGTATCTCCTCCTACACTCAAGTCATGTTCAAGACTCGATCTTTCGCGTTCCTTTTTTGCCAAATTTGTCTCGTTTTTCAATTCTTGCAACCGCTTCATATTTCTTGCAAGTGCACCCCGGTATTTGCAGTCTGGAATATAATATTGAATATAATATTCCATATCTTGCATTGTTCCTTTTGTCTGAGAAGATGAAACTGTACTCGGAATTCCTTCCTCCCCTGTTTCTTCCTGTGCCGCTTCTCTCTGCAAAGTAACATGTATAGACGAAGATTCTCCGACCCGCAAAGTTGTACCCGTAGATGAAGGTCTTGCTTTTCCAGTTTCTTCCTCTAATTGTTGTTCCAAAGTTTGGATTTCGGCTTTTCTTCTATCAATTAAACCCCTGATATACTGGCGACGGGATGCCGAACTCATGTTCTCGGGTAATCCGTAAGGAGGAGGCCTGTCATTCTTAATTTCTTTTCCCTTGATGGATGGTTTTTGTTGACTAGGAAGTCCCGAACTCGGACGTGATGTTTGAGTGGAGGAGTAGGGTGGAAGATTATCATTCCTCGGATCATGCCTCAGTAGATTGAGGAGACAACGTGTTCTCTCTGGGCTGTTGACGTATGTGTCGCGTTTTTTTGGAGATTGTTGTGTATTTGTCTTCGTTTCGTCATTGCGATTGGATTGGACTTCCTTCTCGGCATCGTTGACATTATGCCTCATTAGATTGAGGAGACAACGTGTTCTCTCTAGACTGTCGATGGATCTATTGCGTTCTCTTGAAGACTGGTATGTGTTTTTCTTCGTTTCGTCATTGCGATTGGATTGGGCTTCCTTCTCGGCATCGTTGACCTTTTGATAAATCGTGCCTTCTTTTTTATCCGGACTTAAGACACGAGATAATTTGGATCGTAGTTTTGAAAACATGATGGCTTCTATGCTCTTGTTGTGCACCAGAGATCCCTGGAGTGGATGAGATGTAAGATGGAGATGGGATAAATTGGATGAATGAAATGAGAATTGAGACAGTTGGTTGGAATGATGATTGAGTGATGGAAAGAAGAAGAAGAAAAAGAAAAGGAAAAGGGAAGAAATGAAAAGAGGAAAAATCATCCTACTACTTAAAGTTGACTACCAGGTAACTAGCCAGCACTAGCCCTACAACTGACATCAAGACTTCTGGACTTTGTGGGGTACATGACCGATGAATTCCCGATATCCGGCATCCGGTAGTCATCCTCATATTTTCGAATCGACCTTGAAATATCACAACCAGGAGAAGCATCAAATTGCAGTGTAGGTCTTGAGACAATGATGGGTACTCAGGAGCGAGAGTTGAGGTTTATACACTGGACCATAGAACCTTATATACGTTTAAAGATTGCCGAGTAAGAAATACTGTTGTTACTGTAACGAAAAATACTTCAATTTCATGAATCGTCTGAATCTCTCAAAAAATATCCTTATAGAAAATTCTAATGAATATAAACATTAATCAACTTCTGATATGCCATCAAATTTTCCGGTCGTATATATTCAACCACATCGGGCGGACCCGAATCTTCCTCCGAAGGAGCAATACGTCCTATTAGGCTCGGGATAAATCCATTTGATTTTCGTGCCCAGGTACTAATAGTTTGATTTAGCTGCGCTTCTTTTTCCTTGAGATTCCCAATTATATTCATTCGGGTAACTTCTTTCCATTTGGCTTGCAGAGTGGTTTTTTCGGTAAGCAAAGTGAGATCAATAGGGATTGCTGGTTCTACAGATAGTTTTCCAACTTTCTGGCCTAGGCTGTTGCGGATAGAGAGAATGGGGGCATGATTTATGATTCATGGTGGCATATCGCAGGTTCCAGTCTTTGGACGTTTCCGGGATGGAGATGGATTGTTGGATGGATGTTGGGAAGCTAATATGGATGGATCGTCTCCAGTGCAAGATGGTTGTGATGCCGCATTAGAAACTATCTGTCTTTTCCTCTGGTTATCTCTTATACGATCTAGCAATTTATTTTCTGCATCAGATTGGTTCACAGGAGGTGGTTGCCCGGAGTCAGTATTCATGGTTTGATATCTATCTGCCGATTGACGACATTTAACATCTATCGGTCGAGACCGGTTAACGGCCCATCTGGATGAGAACGTAGCCGACGAGTTTGACTGGGTACCTTGCATTTCTGCATCTTTTTCGGGAGCCGCGAGACTCCTATTTATTCTCTGTGCTGCTGTGATGCATAGTTGAGTTTGAAGAACGGTATCTGTCAGGGCTTGATCATTGCTTTGACTGTATCTTATGCAATTCCTTGTGATGACGGCAAACCTAGCAGAGTTGCTATCATCCTTGACAAAAGATGACCACCGAGGAACAAGTCTCCTGCCATCAATACGATCATGAGAAGTAATATCCCATGCTTGTAACTTTTTGTCCTCTCCAATCCCCGTGAATTTTAGTATCTTCAATATCGTTTTGAAGCTGAATATCAGAAGTTTCCTCTGGGTGACCGGTATCGTTGTCCAAATTGAGGATAACGAATCAATGGAACCCAATCTATCAAGCAAGCTCGTAATATCCCTAAACTCCTCTACTCCATCATTGAATTTCTGATAGAGATACCCTCTAGTAGCAGAGTCTCTGAGCAGAGCCCACAAGCTAATCCTTCGAGCATGACCAGATCAGCAACTAAAATCCAATACGGCAAGACAATCCACTAAATATCGATTAGGTATGTGTGATGCATCCGTTTTGCCAGCGTTGACCCAGTCTTCGAGTATCACGTCTTTCAAAGTCCAGCCTGCATCAAACTTGTATGTGAATCCCAAGGTGATTGTCACATATTGACCACCAGAGGCCTGTGCGGTTCTTTCATTCATTTTCCATTTGGGAGGGCGGGTACCGAGCTCGAATTCGCGGTGCCGAGGCTGAGAGATATATTTGTCAGAACAGTCACACATATCAATGGTATTGAATCTCGGTAATCTCTGAAGTTTCCTAGCAGCTTGTGGTATAGTTCTTACGCCAATCAAGAGGAGCTTGGCTGTGTCGATGGGAGTTGTGTTTTCGAGTGAGTTCGTCTCCATCCAACTAGACCAATGACAGAGTACCTCTGATTCCAGTGGTTGGACTAAAGATGTGTGATCTTCGGCACTTAGAAGTCTACCGCCATGAGTCTCAATCGACGAGGCAGTCGACTCCCCGGTACTATTAAGTCTCAGGGGACCCCATAACTCCGCAAGATGATCTATAGATGAAGAAAGATAAAATCCATCGCATTCAACTTTTGATAACGTTGAATTCGTGGGAATAAAACTGATGGCCCAAACTGGCTGCTTTAGGAGGCCATTTAGGCACTTCAATCGCCGGGATGTCAAAAATAATGTACCTCCAGGACACTCGATGTGCAATCCATCACTCAATGACCCGCTCGGCGTGTGCCCAGAATTATCAAGATGCGACCTGACAAATGATAGCAATGCGACATGCAAAAGGCTTAGAATGGAGCTCAACAAATGGCAGATATCTTGCTGTCGTTCTAGATTGTACTTATCCACACCTAAAACGGTTTGAGGGATACCCAGGCCAAGACTCACAACAATGTGCAATAATATTTCTGCTATATCGTCTAAAGCCGAGTCCAGTCGCTGATTGTCTTCTTGCCGAATGAATTCTTGCACCTCACGGAGAAGTTCGAGCAATAGAGATAAGCTTGGCATACTAACCGGTCGAACATTGAGGACTTTCGGGCGGTCAATATCTGCCACGATAATATTATACGTGGAGCTGTTGCAAAATCCTTCATGTTTTAACAATCGCGTTCCTGCTATTATTGAAGATAACGTCTCTATGCTCATGGAAACCTGGAGCTGGATGTATCCGTTTATTCTAAGCTGTTGATCAGAAGTTGGGCTAAAGGGCGTAAGGGGGTCCAAGCCAGCATCCAAATGTCGCAACGGCAATACGTATCGCCTAGTCTCGTCATCTTCTTTGATTTCCTTGAAGGCATCTGGTCCAAGCTGGAGGATCCTATGTTCGAGAACGGTGATTTCTCGAGAGTATGAATTGGGATCCGTAATGAAGAGGTCGAGTGCATACTCGGAGGACACTTGTGACTGCAAAGAATCTCGTTTCAGACTAAAATTACTACTTCCTTGTGTTCCATTTTCTTTCGTTTCCAAACTTGCAGCTTCTACCTCGGTAGCATTAATTGCACACAAGTCATGCCGATCAGCATCGAAGTTTTCAATTTCTCCCTCCTGCGGCTCAGGTGCGTCTGTATTTTGAGGGCCCACGTTCGGGCTAAATCCAGCTGAATCAGATACCTGGGCAATCTGCAACGATTCCCCATGGCCAGTTGCATTGATCATGGAACCCGGAACGACATCTGGCTGCTGAGTATGATTGTAAATCAGTTTCTCTCCCCCTCCCCCCGTCTCCCATAGGTAAACTAAAAGGCGAGCTTTCTACGCGCATTTTGACCCATTCCGACACACAATCCACGCACCTAGGATGACCGCAGCTCGTACAGTGAGAATTTAATCTCTCACTTAGATATCCATGTGCATCAAGCCAACAGTTACAACAATACCATATCCCGAATGTTTCGTACATAGTTTTATGAATGAATTTTTTAATCAGAATACCAGAAGTCGTATGAGCTCCTCGAAAGATATGCCTCTATTATCCCAAATCATTATGGCTGAGTCCTGCGACATACACGCCTTATCAAACACCTCACTATCGTAGTGGGGTATGCAGACACACCAACAAGGTTTCCAATTGGTAAGAGTTCTGGAACCTACTTACCGCACCGCACCCCTTCTATTTTTCGATACTTTTATGAAAAAACTTAACAATTATTCAATACCACATTATTTATCAATAAAAATTTGATAATTTATTAATAAATAATAATTAATCTCTATATTTGAATTATATTCTTTGATTAAATATCAATTTCTTAGTATATAATCTAAAATCCATTAGATTAATTCTTTTCTAAAATATTAATAATTCATGAATTCGGAGAATTAACAGAGATCGATTTGAATTATATTATATAAGCAGAATTATCTATAACCATGTTATTTTCATAATACGCGATTATAAAACCCCTTCTGATTAGTTATAAATAATATAGGAAACTTTTAACTAGTTAAAGCTTAGTTTTTCCGATTATAGAAAGCTTATAAAATCATTTTAATCTAGTATATAATCTCAAAAGAAAGGAAAATCCGATTGAGAAAGAAATAATTAGATTAAAGCAATTGAGAGCTTTTTATTATTATTATTAGTTTTAGATTAAGCCCTATAATAATAGAATCAATTAATTAAACTAAAAGGATTAATAGAGATATATTTAAAGATAAAAGTATATTTATAAGTAGAGGCATAGGTAAACATCTAAAGTATAATTACCTGAGACGTTTTTCGACATTAGAATCTGAATTAGAATCTATATATAAGGATTAAAAAACTCAATAAGAATCTTAATAAGAATATAAATAAGAATATGAATAAGAATATAAATAAGATTTATATTATATGAATATATATATAGTAGTAAGCTATTAGGAAGCGATCCCTGATACTATGCCTTTTGGAATAGATTGTATGTATAGTATAGTAGTAAAGCTTACAACTCCTATTGTGTCCGCTTACGTAACAATTTAAAAGAATTATTATTCTATTATTCTATTATTCTATACATTCCTGTTTAGACGTGACTCCTTCATATACCCATCGGTTTATTTTCGATTAACTCGTTCAGAACAAGTATTCTGCGCTAATTATATGCTACGCCTCTGACATTTCGGTCGGGTGAGCTAAAGAATTTTCATTGCAGTAGCAGGCAACCAATGTAGCATCTCAATATTTTATTGCAGAATTCAAATAAACTTATATGGAGTTTGGATACTAATTCGACAAGCTGCGTTGTATCGCTAATGGATTACATGGTCTCAACCTAGACACAACAGGGGGCTATAACAGCCCACATGTAACAAGTCCAATTCACTGTACTGTATATAAGCATGAATATGATATTGAAAACCCTTCATTAGTAGTGTGATACTGACTGCATATGCGCTCAGGCGGCTCAGCACCTCTAAATCTAGGGTGTGCCCACTTTAAACCCTTCCACCCTTTTTATTGGTGATACTAAGCGATAGAATATATTCCGCGTCTCCGCCGAATTAAGAATCACATGATCGAAAATCACGACGGAGACATGCATCTACTGTTACCAGACTATCATCCTTACGTTACCCCCTTTGTTTGGAATCCTTGTCTATGGTGTGTCGCTATCAACCTGTTCTTGCAGATGAGAACGGGTACCAAATGCACAGTGGTGGCAGGGTACTGCTTCTGTCATGACGCGCAACGAGGCACAATAGGGCACAATAAGGCACAATAAATCAAATATTTCGAATAGTCTTCCATCACAAACCAATTCAACAATCCGCATTTCCCAGCAACTTTTTGCTTTGTTTTTACATTTCATATCTGACAACATGAACCTGCTATTTGCCTCGCTGGCAGCCATCGTAAGCTTCGTCTGGTTCTTGAACTACGTATTTGAAGTAAAGCGGGATTCCAAAGAACCACCATACATTGATCCAAAATTCCCAATCATTGGACATGCTGTGGGACTACTTTGGGAGAAGTATGGATATTATATCGCACTTAGGTTTGCTTCTCATTTCATCATTTTCCTTTGGAAAGCGAAATCTTTCAGGCATGTTGAACTAACGCGTGCGCGACCCAGTGAAAAGTACAAGTTGCGTATCTTTGGTCTTGCCATACCTGGTATGCCTGGTGGTCGAGTCTACATTATCAACTCACCCGAACTTGTTCTTGCTGTCCAAAGACAATCTAAGCAGCTCTCATTCTGGCACGTCGAAGCAACTTTCACCGTGGGCATGGCAGGGTTGAGCCCGCATGCAGCGAAGATAGTCACACATAATGTGAACGGCGAAGAAGAGGGAACGAGTTTTTTCAAGTCGGGCATGACGCTTCAACATCAAGAGATGCAACCGGGTGAACACCTGTTGAACATTACCAGGGATGGTACTCAGAAGCTCGCACGTACTGTTTCGAGACTAGAAGAAATAACTAGGGTTGATCTCAATCAATGGATTGTTGACACGATCATGGACTCCGTAACGGATAGTTTCTATGGCCCTAGAAACCCATACAAAGACCCGGAAATATCACAAGCGTTCAGGTAATTTATCAATGTAATAATTTGGAAGATCAAATCCTAACTCATGACAGAGACTTTGAGGACAATGCTGTTGGACTCATTTCCTTTCCTTTGCCAAAAGTCACATGTCGAAAAGCGTACCAAGGTCGCGAAAAGATGGTCGATGCATTTCTCAAGTATTATGCGGATGAAGGTCCCAAAACGGCGTCTCACATTGTCCAATCTCAGGACAGAGTTGCTACCACTTCTGGAATCTCACTCCTCGATAGAGCTCGTATTGACGCTGTTAGTGGGCACGCCATCTTAGCCAACACAACCCCCACGGCATTCTGGACTGTCTTCCATCTTCTCTCAGACCCCAAACTTGTGGAAGAGGTACGAAACGCAGTGGAACCGTTTGTTAAAACTTCAGAGAAAAACGGACACCTTTCTCGCGAGATGGATATCAGTAAGATCAGGGATGTGCCAATCATCAGATCTATTCTGCACGAATCGCTGCGACATTATGCGGATGGCACCGGAACACGAATCGTGCTTCAAGACACCATGCTTGACGATAAATATCTATTGAAGAAAGATTCGTTCATCTTTATGCCAAATCGAGCTTACCATTTTGATGAATCATCCTGGGGAACAGATGTTGACAATTTCGATGCTCATCGTTTTATGAAAAGTAAACCATATCAACCAGGTGCATTCCGAGGCTTTGGTGGTGGCGTTAATCTATGTCCAGGGAGGTTTTATGCCATGAATGAGATATCGTTTCTATGTTCAATGCTAGTTTTGCGTTATGATGTCAAGCCGGTTGGTGGGGCATGGATTCATCCAGGAGCTGATAGTAGCAACTTGTCCCTGATCATCAATCCTCCAATCAAGGAAGTACTGGTGGACTTCAAACCCAGAGCGGGATGGGCTGGTGGCGATTGGTCTTTCACGCTTTAAATGTTACCTCAAGGGTGTATAGTAAGACACGAAGTACAGTTACGCAACAGCTCGAGGCCTTCAATGACTTTATGAGCCCTGTCAACTCTGACCCCCATGCCTCAATCATTCAGGCTTTCGGCTACCAGCAAGGTCTCCAAATCGTTTCTATGGGCATGGAATACACTTTACCAATTGCGAATACGACCCCGAAAGTGCTTCAGCCGTTCCTGGAGATCGACAACCAGCTAGGTAGTACCATGCGCGTTTCCAACATGTTGGATTTCGTAACAGAGGAAGCGGATTTTCAGCCTTTGAGTACTCGGTATGTCGTATACATTGATTCATGTCAGCGTGTTGCACACGGTAGAAGTCGTCATCTAGGACCAGAAGAAATTTTACTAACACGATTTAATGCAGAAAAATCTATGTAACCACAACTTTCAGTCCGACCCTCCCTATCTTGACCTCAATCTATGATCTCTGGAATGCAACTATCCAAGCATCAGCGCAATTCCATCGATAAGCTACAGTTTAATATATCAACGGTTCCCAGCAACTGTCTCGGGCAGCGTTAATTCTTTTAATGTCCCCTCATCCGCAGAGAATCTGGTATTGGGATTATTATCCGTTACTTGGGCAAATGAGTCGGATGATAAAACGGTGATTCAGTGACAACGGCGCTCATGAGCGCAATTGAAGAGAAGACAAAAGAAGCAGGTGTTTACAATTCTTTCAAGTATTTGAATTATGCAGCCAGCTGGCAGAATCCTTTGGGCTCGTATGGAGATAAAGGAAAAGAGAATTTGTTGAGTGTAAAGAAGACTTATGATCCGCAAGGCCTGCTTCAAAAAGGGGTTCCTGGTGGATTCAAGCTGAAAGGACTTGATCAGTAGTCTTCATAAACACACACAGAAGATAAAATCGTTGTTATGATGTGTAAAATAGTCATGTGTTTATTTTGAGATGTTAGAAAAAGAAAATTTTAGGCCAGACAAGCATGATCAGATGTTTATAGTTAATTTTGCAAGCCCTACAGGAAATATTGACGAAAACATCATCTCCATCCACTGGGCCCATAATGCCTAAGCAAGGCTTCTTTATCTCCAGACGTGGAAACTGTGTCTTAGCCCTTGACTCAAAGCTCTTTTCATGAATATCAAGCCCAATATCTTCTTTATCTATGAGTTGCATATCAAATCTCCACAGAGCTAAAGCAACACAAGTTAATACCTCCGCCTTGGCCAGAAATCGCCCTGGGCAGTAAGTTGAACCACAGCCATAAGGTCTGTAGCTCGGGTTTACGTTCAGCTTATCATTGGTCATAAACCTCTCCGGGTGAAATCCACCAGCATCGGCCCCGAAAACTTCATCATTGAGTATTAATTGTCGATATGGAATGATGACTCTCCCGCCTGGCTGTAGTTCTTTTCCACCGACGTAAGTAGGAGATGCGATATTGCGAACAGACACAGATGAAGTTATAAGCCTCAAAACTTCGTGGTACAAGGCGAGAAAATGGGGAGTAGCTGTAGGAACAAATGAATTGGCAAGAGAGTTGGGATCCTGAGATGCGGGAGTTGTCATGATGAGTTTAAGTTCAAGCCGTATCTTGGCCAAAAGGCTTGGATTGTGGAGAACATAAGCGAGCATCCAAAATGATACTTTCCAGGCGTTTGCATTTATCCTATTATTGATCAGTCGCTGTGCTCCATATATTGTGAAAGTGAGGAATATCAACACTTACACCCAATAGATCATCGTAAGATAGGCAGCGATATCAGGCGCTTGAATACCCACAGCTTTCATTTCAATCTCCAATGCTTCCACGAGCCAGCAGGCACCCGGACGCTGACTGGTGGACATTTCAAAATACCTCGTTAGAGCATTCTGGCCAATAGCATTTGCATCTTTCATATCATTAGCCCAAGGAGCAGGAATCTTGTAAGTCAGTTTCCAGCTACTGTTGTCGAAAGAAAAAAAAGCTGTCAAAAAGGTCAGGTTCAATTTCACGGAGCTTACAGTACTAGGGCACAGCTGTTTGCCGAACATCAAAATCACACCAAAACTCATATAAATTACTTATAAACTTTTTAATAATGATATAGATTTTATTTGAAACTTTTATATAATTTTATTAATTTTCGATTAAAATTTAATAAAAATTAAATAATTTGTTTTTAGGATTTTATTTATTATAATATTTATATAAAAAGATGATATAAATTGAAAATAGTAAAATTTATTAGTAAAACAAGGGAAAATCAAGAACTTTTCTTTTAATTTAAATTCAATCTTGTAAATAATAATATTCCTATTTATCAAAATTATCAAAATTATAAATTCTAAATATTTTAAATAAATATACGTTCAGAATTGTAATCGATTTTAATGATTTTGAATATTTTATTTTCATTTATATAAATAGAGCAAAATGATCATTTTGATTGTGATTTTTGAAACCGACGAATAGCTGTGCACGGTCACTGTAGGTCCAAAACAAAGAAGTCGTGGCTCCTTTCAGAAGTGCTTCTCTGGTCCACTCAAGGAGCGGCACGGTACGGGAATTGGTCCATGGCGTAGGTAATATAACTTCCGAGATCATTTTGTTCCAAGTCATAGAACTATGAACGCTGCAGAAAAACACATGTTGGAGCTTTTCAAGCCGTTGGCCGGGTTAGAGTTGTTGTCGTATGATAGTTTCGGCAATATGCGCAAGTGGTTTGCTCGGAGGCCAGTTGCCGCCTCCTCTATTGAGCTTTTGGGATGAAGGTTCCCACATTTCTCCTATGGCATGTGGTGTAGCTCCGAACGAAACCATCATATCAGTGATATAATCATCAAATGTCAATTGTTCAGTATTTCTGTATACCTCATTCACGGCGAAGATGGATGTGATAATGTAGAGAGTTTCTCCTGCTGCAGTGATGGTGAATGGGTCGCGAGTGTTGCGAAAGTAATTTCTAGCTTGATGTTAGAATCCTTATAGATGTCACGAAAGGAGGTTTTTTGGCGCATAGTCCAAGAAGTGATAGACAAACCTGCCATATGCAAACATGCCGTCGGCGTCATTGAAGAAAGATACGGCATGTCCTGGAGAGCAATCAATAGTTTTTGCTTCATTTTATTCATCTATAATGAAGATATACCCAAGACTGTGCCCGCTGAGTCAGTGAACTTGATCATTTGTTACATGAATAGATAAACATACACGGTATCCAATATGGTAGGACTTGAGGTCGATTGGGGTATAACCACGGTAAAATGGTAAATGATCAGATTCTCCAAATTATGTAAAGTCCAAATAGACTGAAAACAAGACTGCAGAGCACAGAGATAGTCGCGGTTTGGCCTTGGAAGGCATTTAGATTATTCCAAACCCGCTGCTCAAATACTCTGGATAACATTGTCAGGCGGAGAACAAAAGTTGGGCAAAATTCAGTTCGCGAGGTTCAATCTCAATAATGGATATAGGTGCCTATCACGTAAATATAGTAGACTTTATACCAAGACCGCGTTCGTGTATTTAAATAATTAAATAGTAGATAATTCGCACAAGTTACTAGAACAATAAAGAAAAGATACAAAAGCCATTGGACTCTTAGCTCGCTTAAAGAAATAACTACACTGCAATCTATATTGCTAAATCTATCTCGATGCAACATCCATCTCACCTAGGCAGCCTTCGTTCGCCCATTCTGAACTTCATTACCAACAGAACTCATGTTTTTCACATCAACACCTAGTTTTGCAAGCCCCCAGCGCATGCTATTCTTAGCAGCCTCATCGACACCGACAAGGGCGTACCAACCAAGTCTCTGCTTTGCCTTGCTTACTTGATAAGTTCTGGTCATACAAAGGTACTCTAGCTTTGAACGAATCAAAATTTTAGGCCTTCTCCTTCCCTGGTACACAATCCAGAACCAGTACTCAGTTAGCCAAGCCAGCATAAACAAGATCCACGTAGGAATGACCCATATTGTTTTCGGCGGATGCCCCGCTGCCGTATAGAACTTGCGCATATAAAACCAGAACGGGGAGGGAAGGTCGTCTGTGATATTGAATGCTTCGCCGCAAATTCGAGGTTTAGGTGGTACTGCATCAATATCTTCATCCCTATCCTTGGTGTAAGCGATGTCCGTCTCTACCTCCGTCAAGAGGGCCTTTGCTGCCAAGACATGACCAAAAACCGCATTGCTGACATAAATCGGATCAAACAGAGTTGTGTTGTCACCCAATTGCAGAAATGACAACCCGTAGCGTGCTAGTTGCAGGCCAAGCATTGTCATATTCTCGTCTCCTTCGCCGTAGATACCTGAGATCCGGATACATGCAGTTCGAAGATGACTGTGGGAGCACTTTCCAGCAAGATGACATGGTTTAGAAGAAGGATTATTGGCAGCCAACACCAGTGCATCTGCAAGAGCCTTGCTTTCGGAGTAGGGGTTATATTTGGTAACTGGGCCGTTGAGAATGGGGTGAGATTCATCCGCGTTAAAGATTTCACCGTTGACATCGTACTTGTATATGGTCAACGAAGATGTATAGACAAGGGCTACAACTGAAGGTGCGGAAGAGGCGCATGCGAGCAAGTTCTTAGTACCTTCCACATTCACCTTCTGATAAGAAAGATGATTGGGTGGATCTTGGTATGGATCGGGAGAAGCGGCATGAAAGATAATACGCGGTTGGATATCCGTGAGCAAATTGGTAACTTCTTCAACAGACGTGATATCGCCAGCATAGTACGATGCTTCAGGATAACGGTTTTCGCGCGGACTCCGGCTGAATACAGAAACGTGCTCTACGTCTGAATCATCCAAAAGAGCTTTGACAAGATGATGTCCCATGAATCCACACCCTCCAATGACTAGAACATGACCTAGTGCCTGACTCTGCATAGCTTGTGCCTCGTGATGGTGGTATTGGTATTGGTGTTGGTGGTGATGGTGGTATGGAAAGATTCCACTGATGAGAAGAAAATACGGAATGTAAAAGAATAAGCAAACATAATAAGATTGCATGTTATTAGACGGATAAGCGGATGCGGGTTGCATGGATATTATTGAATTAAGGCTTACCTGACGTCGCTTAATGTGGCCTGCAAGACACCCCACACATAGTCACCGAATGTGAGTGGGGGATAGAGACACACCCGAGACACCTACCTCGCTTAGCCATCGAAACATCGGTACATCAGCACAAGGATTAATGAGACTAACGATGCTTTAGGGAAGTATGAGACCTAATTGATTATACAGCCGGCCCTTGTATGAGTAGGAAAATGATGTTCTCCAATGAGAACAACGTACTCTTATAACAGCAAGAGGCCCGTCAGCTTCTAGACTAATTATACCCTAGCCCCCAATAAATTGGAGTGGCCGTGTACTTTATATTTATATTAAGCATAGCTCCACAGAGCAGCAATCATTCATAGTAGTAATACAGACCCACAACACTTACAACCCCGCGATAAATATCTTAAGTTAGATGAAGACTAAACACATATAATCCCTCACGGACATTCTGACAGGTGCATGCATATATTGATGGGTGGATATTAAAAATCAAACTGTTTATTACAAACTCCCCAAATATTTAGCTTACTATCCTTTTCGGACTAGAAATAATCCTCCTCCACATAGTTCCGGACACGTACAGCAACCTTGACGTGGTGTAACAACAAACTTTGATCGAGGTTTTTGAATCTCGAAGTCGTCTCTTGGTCAACCTGAATGTTCAACACAGCTAGAAGGTAAGCAAGCGTAATTTTTGACGTCAAGAGTATGGAAGCTCTAGCATCTGCTACACTGTGGTACATGTCAGTTTAATGTAGCAATGAATCCGAGATGTTACCCACTTTGATGGCCAATCTTCCCCAATGTGATGAGGAGGAGAGAAATCCTGAAGGAAATTGGCTGAATTTGCGACTGTAGCCTCTTGCCTATCCACATCTCTCAGATTATCGACTGTTGCAGGCGTTAAAATTCTTATCAGAAATGCGAGGGGCACGTCCTTACAAAAATGCGTACTCACAATAGTTCTCTAAAGATTCTTCCAAAACCCTATGCAGCAAAGGTAGATTATTCAGACCTTCATATGTGCGCAACTTAGGGTCTCCAATCTCTCGACGTAGCGATTCAAGATCCAGTTGCACACAGGCTTGTACAATTGTGTGAGTAAGAATCTACATATCCTCGTCAGTACATGACTGTCTGGTATATTTTTGTTTTAGAATCACTAACAAGTAAAGCCTGATTTGATAGCTTGAGCCATGCAGACAGAATTGCTTCAGCGACAACCGAAGACTTGACCTGTTCTTTACCAGGAGCAACAATTGCGGTCCGCAAGAATTTGGGCTAAATACGATTAGCAGCTTTCTTTGTGAAATATGGGGTTACAGACCAGTTTTTCTTCTTCTGCTTGCTCTAATGCGAGAGCTAGTCGCTGGATTAATCTATGCTTTGCGCGCTCATTTCTAGTAACGATGAAATGGACGGTTCTTCCAAGTCAATTCGTGCGCATTCAGAGGTTGTAGAGTCTACTTACGGAGCGATAAAAACGGGCACATATTGTTGCGTGTTGTCAGAAAGCTCCATATCGAGAGCATATCGGATCAGCGACGAGGCGAAATCTTGCTCGCGAGCTTGAAAGGGCAAAATGACAATGAGTAACGGAACAAGTGAGCGTATGAAAGGGTACGTGAAGAACTGGGCTTACTCACCTATCTGACCAAAAAAGATCGCAGTCGATGCCGCAAAGACCGAGGGTTTTAGCAACGCGCGTAGATTCACAGATTTCCAACCTGCCCGATTAAATGTTAAGAAGGGAGGTGATCAAATTGAAGGGGCCAATTATTGAGGAAGACCAGAGTCATCAGACTTGAGGTGATAAATTCGCATGGGTATAAAAGATTCACGACGTACCATTATAATACCAAATTCTGCCACTGAATGATGATCCACGGCCAGCTTCTGTCAAGATGTTTTCTTTAATTGAAGCCTGGAGACCAGGCGCCACGTATTCTGATCCATCGGCAATTGAACAGAAGCTGCAGCTTTGAGATGATTTGCACCTGAAATGGTCATAAGCATGGGATGTCATATTTCGTTATGATCGTGTTTAAATTTACGGCCAGCTCAGTGCATCAAGATTCAGTGGAAGCTTGAAAGTTTGAAGAACAGAACAAACATGAATGAGTTTCCCAAAACAAACACGGGTTCGAATTGACCGAAAGGCTGACAGCACAGGGATTAAAATGGGTAGTGTATGGTTGCATGCATGCATGCATGATATGATAGTGTTGGTACCAACTTGGTTGATAAGTGTAAGTCCTTTAGCATGCTATCCCCTAGACTGCTAGCTAGCGGCGCCGTCGCTTAATGAGCACTTATTGACCAATCAAAACGTTAGGATTCTGAGATTCATTTTAATACGTTTTTTTTTTTGAATAATTATTTCACACTTATTATTTTGATGAATATAAATAGTAAATCTAATTCTTTATATAATGTTTTATTTAGTCTTTTTCTTTTTAATAAATATTGAGTTTTTAATTTAATATCTATTTAGAAGTGATGTTATATAAAAATCACTTATAAATATCTTGTGATGAATATCACGTGATATACGTGATGACTCATCACAGCTAAGTTCAAGGCTAGCTTGAACTAGGCGATTATTATTATATAAGAGATAAAGAGATCCCTTAAAGGGTCTCTTTCCTCTTTAACTTTCTTATTCTAGTAATTTGACCTCTATGATATACTCTAGTATGTGATCGTAACATATCTCTCATTTTCTAAAATGAAATGTAATATTTATAAAATCGTTTACGCATTATTTTGTAAATAAAAAATTAAAGAAATATAATTAATATACTAATTATTATTTTTTCATTAAATGTCAATCTTTATATATAATATTATCTATAAAGTTATTAATGTTCTTGCTTAATACATAAACTATATCCGGCGCTGCTAGCTGGTGGTCTAGGAGATACAGCATTATGTTTTGCTTCAACAGTAATAGATCTAATTTTTGCCTTCAAACTATACCAAGTGATTGGAGATTGAAGAAGCTAATATGATCACCAATCTTACATAGATATGTCTAGTTGTTCATTACATCAATCAGGTTCTAGGTACCGACTCCTGGTCCTTTTCCCTTTTTCCTCTCTATACTTGAATGTCGGCTTGATGTCTGACCTATTTAACTTCCAATAGGTATAAAGGTTGGGAAATTCGGTCGTCACGGCTACGATACATCAGTTCTACAAATTGTTAACCCCTGGTTAGGATGGGTAAGTGATAGCCCACTTGATATAATTCTAACATTTCAACTTGCCTTCCAAGCTAATCTGTTTGTCCAATATCAGACTTTGATCACCGAGAACTGGCTCTCGACTGTCACACTCGGCATAGCCAAACTCACTTTCCTATTGTTCTATCTCACTTTGTTCTCACCCAACCGCATCCTGCGATACATGATATACTTTGGAATGGTTGTCACAATTCTTGTTTTCCTTGGCTTCACTCTAGCTCAGACCATTCTTCTCGTACCTCATCCAGGTGAAAACTGGCTAGAAATGTATCAAGACCCTCGAGAGATGGCAGTTTTAAAAATTAGTGTTCCAATCTCAGTGACAAGTTTCATTGTTGATATTTATACCTTCATCATACCAATTGCAGGAGTCTCGGGACTGAAGTTAAGTCCAAAGAGGAAGATTGGAGTTCTCATAGTTTTTATTACGGGACTATGATATGTTTGTAAGGCCTCCTTCAAAGATTTTTATTTATTTATCTATTCAAGCGATATATACACCGAGATATTTGAAGGAGAGACTGACTTCAATTAGCGCTTGTATAGCCTCATCACTGAGCATCTACTACAAAACGCGCCTTACCCTATAGTAACAAAATTAACACCTAGGCATAAAAAAAATATCAATATAAATTCCTATATAAATATTTAATACGTAAATTATTATATTAATATTTCTTTCGTTACTAACGAAATAATCAATTCGTTAACAACAAATATTTCCAGTTCAAAACAGTAATCGTTTATTATTAACATTTATAAAAGATCAAAAAAAATAAAGGTCCTAAAGAGTCTTAGAGATTTCAAGCATTGAATATTAGAATTGTAGGAAAGGTAAACGAAAGGGAGCGAGCAAGCAGGAGAGAGCAAGCATAGAAGCTAAAGGCATTAGTCGAAAGTCTAAAGAGGGATCTGTTCACAAATCACTTCACTTTCGATTTATTCTTTAATCAAAAGCTTTACTACTATATCACATAATATAGAATATACTATTTAAATAATTCTAATATATATATATATATTCAAATTCCATTAATTATTAATCGAATTCAATATAACTAAACTTTTTTACATGAAAATAATTTTAAATTAGAATTTTCGAAAATTTCTCTAAATCCTATCAAAGTAAATTTTTCTTATTATATATAAATATAAGATTAATTATATTAATACTTTAGAAACAATTTTCAATACAATATTAAATATTGAAAATTTCATTATAAGATCTTACTTAATGAAGCGATCGTTTCGTTAACCACGGATTATGCCACCACAGGGTTACTACTATTGATTCAGCTTGGGACTCTATTCCTGTTATTATGTGCGCGTAAGTATACTTCGTTTTGCCTCGTCCATTTATAGCCAGGACTTTCTTACTCCTTAATCAGCCTGGTAGAAATGTGCATGAGGATAATTTGCTCCTGCATGCCCACACTTGCCAAGTTTACCTCCCACTACTTTCCCAACTTTTCAATTGTCGAGTCCGTTCTATCACCGAAGTTATTCACGCGACTAACTACACATTCAAAAAGCAATAGCAGATCCTTTTCGATTGTGAATGCGAGAAAAAGATTGGGTAGTGAGTCTGACGAGAATTTGAGGAAGAAGGCAAGTGCAAACGGTCGGGAAAGAGAAGTTGAAATGGCCGAGGACACCTTGTTTGAAATAGAAATGGGAGACTTCGGAAGGGGACAAAATCAAGTCAAGATCATTTCTGGAAATATGAATGGTCGTACTGATTTTAAAGTAGGCAGTATGTAGTAAGCCAGTTCAAGTAGTCTAATTCAGTTTGGGGTCTTGTGAGACTGGCTGGGTTGATTCCCCACAGATAATGTTCTCGGTTTGATGCTTTCTTGCCTTCCAGATTAATTGGTTCTATCTGTCTCCTTCTGTGGTGAGGGGTTACATGACTTTAAGTGGGAGTTGCATCATCAATGAAAGACTTTGTCTTAAAGAAGGGCAATCTTAAAGATTCGATCAATCTGCCAGTCAAATTCACCTAACTTGACAATAAATCTCACCATCTTTACAATACCAAGCCTCAATAATTATAGTCGAAATTTCCAAGGTTTAACTTGAACAAAATAGATTGTTCAGTTGACAGATACTCAGACACTCAGCTTGTCTTCTTCTTCTTCTTCTTCTTCTTCTTCTTCTTTTTCTTCTTCTTTTTCTTCTTCTTCTTCTTCTTCAAGAAATAGGTAAAATGTATATCTGATCTTATAAAAATTGTCAAGGCATTCCAGTATTCGAGAACAAAACCCCAATCATTGACATGCAAACAATCCTTTTGGAGACATTGAATATTTCCCAAAATGAAAACTTGTTGAGATGCTTTAGTTTCTGAAGTAAAACATATAGAATTGAATCTGGATTGATATCAATGAAGAAATGTACCAAACTTTTGACTCAGCCTTCCAAAAAAGACTGACTGACTGGCCTTGATAGATTCTTCTAAACAAAATCAAAAACATCAAATATGAAGAAAAAAAACTGGAATGAACAACCTTGATAATCGGGTATTCTAAAAAAATAATGACAACTACTCATGATCTTTGAAGTGTTTGGCCATGGAGTTAAATACTAGATAGCCAATAAGTAAGTAGTATTCTTGGTCTCATCATCTCAGGAAACCTCAGAATGGACAAGTAATCTTTTCCTCCAAGAAACCCCGAAAGGTCTCAAAGCATTTCGTCTTTCCCCTTTTCCTCTTCTCCCCTTCTCCCCCCCTCTTTCCTTCCCCTCCTTCCCCTCCTCTCCCTCCTCCCCTTTCCCAACCAACAAAATTCCAACAAAATTCCAACACAAACAAGAAACCTCCAAATGAACGACTTCAAACAAACGACTTCAAGTTTTCAGCATCTTTCTATCCCCAATTGACTTCCTAACCTCAATACTTAATGTTAAAAACAACATAATTTCTGTATACCATCATTCATTGCCAAGGATTGACACTTATGAGGAAAGAAAGATCTGAACGTGATGAAAGAGGAGGGCGGAGGGAGGAGAGGGCGAGAAGAATGAGAGAGGAGAAAGATGATAGGAACAGCTATGTATATCTAAAAGAGACAGTAGATGAATGAAACGAGACAGAGATGAAAAGAATGGCATTTCGATCATATTTGAGAACTCAGATTTTAATCTACTTGGTCTTTGATACTATCGATAAACCGGGCATTAGCCAACCGCAGATGCCCAATAGAACGTCAACGGTCTTCTGGTGGATGATGAAGCAAATCTATAGTCTGCAAAAGACGTTGGGACAGGTTCACAGTTCACATCTCACATTTCACATCTCACAAACCAAGATGAACAAAAGATATTGTAAAGTATTATTGTATTTGAGTTGTAAAATAAGACAGCAACAGCAGGGGAAGATACTAGTTGCAAAATACTCACCATATAATACAGTTGGTCTAGCGAGACGTTTCGCAAAGAACCGGGTAATATTTGTCATAAACCATTCCACCCAACCAATGAAAGAATTTTTACATCATGCCCTCGGAAAGCCCACATAAAGTTCGGTCCCCTCTCAAGATATCCAAAGATACAAGAAAGGATCATACCCAACCTCTTAATATGTTCAAAGCCATAGACCACAATGTTTTTACCTAAACGCCCCTATGAAAACGATCAAAAAGCTCAAAGGGACAGCCACAAGCCGACGACCACGTAAATCAAGCCCACAAGTTGTAAACTTCTCTTCCAATGAAACGATCCAGAGAAAGCAGAAGATATGTCTCAATAGCCACATTCTCCATAAGGAGTAGAGTCAAGAGCCCACAACCCACAAAGCCAACGACCCACATATCAACATGAAAGCATCTTCAAAAAGAATACTCAACATGTGACAAAGTACGGACAGACAATGGAAACCCTCATATGATATCAACAGCTTATTCGAAAGACATCTTCTTTCCCTTGAAGTCACCGAAGCCACCACGGTTAGTGCTGCCTCCACGACCTCCACGGGCACCACCACGAGCACCACCACGTCCTCCACGGTCACCGAAGCCACCACGTCCACCTCCACGTCCGCCACCACGTCCACCACCGCCACGTCCACCACCACGGCCACCGAAGCCACCACCCTCACTGCGCTCTGGACGAGGAGTAGCATAGTCAAGTCTGACTGGACGGCCAGCAATATCAGCACCCATCATAGCATCATAAGCGGCAGTAGCATCCTCAACGGAACCGAAGGTAACATATCCGAAACCCTTGGGGTTGCCAGTTTCCCTAGTGATTATTAGTATGTGTAGATGAGTATGTGACGAGGATTAACTTACTGGTCAGTTGGGAGTCTGACGTTGACAACAGTGCCGTGCTCACCGAAAGCCTCACCAACAACGTTCTCATCGGCATCGAAGGAAAGGTTACCGAGGAAAAGGGTGTCGGAAGGTGGGTTCTTGGCATCACCGAATTGAGCAGCACGGTTGTTAGCACGCTCTCTTGGTGCGGTGGTGTCACGGGGAGTGGAGAAGTCAACGTTGGCCTCACGACCATCAATGAGAGCACCCTTCTTGGCAGCAAGAGCGGCAGCAGCATCACTTGACTTGACGAACTCAACGTATCCGAAACCCTTGGAGCGTCCAGTAGCCTTGTCGCTGATAACACGAGCACCACTGATCTCACCGAACTCCTCGAACTCGCGGTAGAGCCACTCGTCATCAATGTTCCAGCTCAAGTTACCAACGAACAAGTTCTTGCTTCCGTTATCCTCAACAGTCTCCTCAGTCTTGGACTTCTTGGTGGAAGCCTCTGGCTCATCCTCGGCCTTACGCTTCTTGGATGGTGCTTCGGCCTCAGCCTCGCTGGCAGACTCGCTGTCGGAATCGGAAGAGTCAGAGTCAGATCCAGATTCCTTCTTCTCTTCTTCCTCGGAGGAGTCAGAGCTATCGGAGTCATCAGAGTCCTCCTATAAAGATATTAGCATGCAGTTCAAGTTACGATAGGCTTGTTGGAAGGATTGATATTACTTACAGTAGCCTTGGCAACTGCCTTAGCAGCACCGTTGACCTTTGCCTTACCGGCATCGACAACCTTTTGAACCTTCTTGGCAGCAGCAACAACTGGCTTAGCCTCCTCCTCGGATTCGGAGTCGCTTGAGTCGTCACTATCTTCGCTCTCAGAAGCAGCAGCCTTCTTGGTAGTCTTTGCGGCGGGTTTAGAGTCAGTTTCGGATTCAGATGATGAGGAATCATCTTCGGATTCAGACGAAGATGAGGAGTCAGAGGAGGATGATTCTACCTCTTTCTTCTCGACCTTAGCAGCCTTTCCGTTAGCCTTAGCCTTGGTGGCCTTTGGTGCTGGCTTCTCCTCCTCAGATTCAGAAGAATCCGAGTCGGAACCAGATTCGCTGTCGGAGGATGGTGTGGCAGCCTTCTTGACTGGCTTTGGAGCTGGCTTGGCGGCCTTGGTGGCAGTAGCCTTTGCGGTCTGTTTAGATTTAGCTTTTGTTGATTGAGATGGTTTAACAACTGCCGCATTCTTGACAGTTGAGAGTGGTAGTTTGACCTCAGTCTTCTTGGAAGCCTTAGCAACCTTGGTATCCTTGGTCTTTGCCATTATGAATGATTTACTTCTTGAAGAAGTTGAAGTAATTGAGTGTTTTTGAAGAAGGATATGAAGAAATTGCTATCTTTTAATCAAAAAACTGATGAATCGATACAAGTATTGAGTTGAAAAAGGATGTATGATTGAAGAAGAAAAATTGAAAACTTGGGAGAGTGAAAAGTTTAAGTAGGTTTGAAGAAAAGCTCTTATCGAGAATTTTTTTCAATTGCGCTAGAGTGATAAAAGGTTTTTATCTGGAGAGTGGATTCAGGGTCTCGAGGGAGTGGGTCTATCAGTTCGAGTGATTAGTTAAGCATTTCGAGCAGTCTCGGGCAGTGAAGGAACCAAAGCAAGTTCGGCAAGTCTTGCTCATTCACTAAATTTCACCCGACCCATAATAAATCGTGACCTTCGTTGTTGAGCTCAAACAATCAAAATAGCTTCATTACAAACGCATTTGTGAAAGACGTCGACCACCTCAACTCTACTATTGGATCCACAATACTCGATCGACCATATACCCATTGATCCTATAACCCTCCTCATACCCATTATTCAATTTCTGTACAATGGCACCAACTCCCGAATCTGCCGCATTCCTCGCGAAGAAACCTACGGTCCCTCCAACTTTCGATGGTGTCGATTATGATGATACAGCACGATTGAAGCAAGCACAAGATGCGATTATAAGAGAACAATGGGTCAAGAGCATGATGGCGCGTTTGGTCAGAGAGGAATTGGGAAAATGTTATTACAAGGAGGGGGTTAATCATTTGGAAAAATGTGGTGCATTAAGAGGTGAGGATTAATACTATGAAACCGGAATAATCTACAGATTTTTTGAATGGGAATCAGTTCCTTCAACCCCCCAAAAACAACTGGCTTCCCAGGAGGAACTTTTTATAGATCTTGGGGCTAATCCTTTCTCTCAGATCGTTATTTCGAGTTATTGAAGGAGTCCAAGATTAAAGGTTACCTGTTCGAGCAACAAAACCATTTCAACAAGGCTTAATATATATATTATGAGGACTTTACTGGGCGAGGGGAGGATCAATAGTGAGAAGAGGGCGAGAGCGATGTCATGCTGGGTGGAGGGTTATGCTTGAATGAGCTCAGTGCGGCTTCAGGCAGGCTGGATATTTGGAATCAGACACTGAATATATACCAGAATCCAGGAAGCTTCAGAGCATTTGACCCAAAAATAGAGACCTGAGAAAGGTCTACTAATGGGACTGTAAATATGAAACATTTGTACAACCAGTCTATTTCCCTAAACTTGTGATTTTGATGTATGAGAATGACATAGCCAATATGTAGGTACTTTGACATGGTATGGACTTCCGAAAATATCACATCTTTTACTTGCCTCAAGAAATATCAGAGTAATAGTTCAGAGAGGATTCAATTATTTACATGAATATTTCTCCATGTGATTCTCAATCCTAATATGGACACAGCAAAATAGATGATCCATTTCCATTACATATCCACCCAGCACCCAGCACCCCACCAAAGAATTTGATATCAGCAGCACACCCGGTCCATCCAGGTACCCGTAGTTATCCCAAGAAAATAAATCTCCATATACACCAGCACAAGAAATAAACCCACCAGATCTCACCTACACAGCCAATTCTCCCTCAAAATGATTTGTTCACGCTGTCTGACCCGTCGATCGCTCCCTCTCACCCAACAAACCCGTCTCTTCTCGCACACAGCCTTCCTCACCTCCACCCCCCCAACATCCACCCCCTCCTCACCTCGCACCGCCGGCCCTCCAACCGCAACCTCCACCGGCGCAGCCCAACCCTTCTCAACCCCCCTCTCCCCCTCGCCCGCCGCCCAAGGAATCTCCTCCCATCTTCCCCCCACCAAAAAATCAACTCCCCTACCTACATCCAGCATCCCCGCGGGCACCATCCTCCAAGGTCTCAACTTCCTCAAAGGAAGAGACGACCCCGTCGCTTTAAAAGAAGAAGAATACCCAGAATGGT